GTACTCCGTCGTTCGTGTTTTCAAAGATCAACGGCGCAATAGCGTTCGCGTACTTTGTCGAAAGCTGAACACCTCGATCATACGACACTGTATCGTAACTTTTCTATCTAACTTGGATCGATGTGCACAGCGATATCTTGCTCCCGATACGAATTTAAATTAAGCAACGATTTTCACTCACCGATCGAGGACGCGCCCGTGACATCTGGATCCAGCAGACTCGCGAACCTTCCTGCACCACGGTTGTCAGCAAAATTATCGGTCGATCTGTCTGCTCGGTATTCGATTCACTTCAAGTCACCAACTGACAAACCACCCACACACTGCAACGCACACCGTCGTCCTCGTAGCAATTTCTCTCCGGTTAGCCGTGTTCTCCACGATGCACCGAGGGGTTCGTTTCGATCGGATGCCGGCGCGGCAACGATCACGAAGGGTATAGAGGGTCGAAAGCTCGTCGGCGTGTCCGTTTTCGATGCACTCGGTGCACTAACTCGGTTCGAAGCGTGTATCGTTTCTGTTAGGTTCCAGCGCGGCTGTTTAGCCGACACGTGGTCGCGTACGAAACACTTTCAGCCTGACGGTCGACAGAGCCCACGCGTCCCGTGTGCTTGTAATCGCGCGTTCGACTGAGCGCCCGAGTACTCCCGAAGTCCCTGCTTCTCGCTCGTGCCGTCTCTTCCTGCTCGCGCTACCCGATCCTCTCTCTCTCTCGAATACTCGCCTACGGTCGCTCGTTCTCCCTCTTTACGCGAACCCCCACTCTTTCCTTCTCGCACCAACGACTCGTTCCTGCGTTTTCCACTCGTTCCTCGGCTATCTCCGTCTCGCTCCCTCTCTCTGCCTCGCCATTTTTTCTCCGTTATCACTGCCGCTCTCTGTCCCTTTCTTTCGATTCTTCTCGCTCACCCCTCGACTTTTCACCGTCTTCTCGCAACAAAATACGCTTCGTCGTACACCGAGCCTCTATATAAGCTTCCTTCGGGTAACAATTAGTCCAAGGGAGGAACCTCCCACAGCTTCTCTCCGATTCTACGCAATCGAATTTCCATGTTTTTAAATTTTCCTGCTTCTATACTTTTGAAAGTTTGAAAAGAGACGAATGAACGTCGCCATTTTCCCTAGCTATCGTGATTGCAAGTGTACAATCAACAAAATATGTACATAGACGCATCGATCATCGGTAATTACGATTCTAGCACGGACCGTTTCTATCGGTGCATAGATCGTTTCTTACCAACGATCGTGCCCCGCTCCTCTACCTTCCTGTTTACGTTTCATTTCAATACTTTCCCTGCTTTCTTTCGCGACATACGCGTATTACGTCACGCGTCGACTCTAGCATAGGCGTTTTCGATTGATCGTTTCCTATTCGACGAACGACCGTTTCGTATCCCGTTCGAGCGAGCACCTCTCGCCTTTCCTCTTGGTAGCGGCAACGTCTTCGCCGCGATGAGAGATCCTGCGAGACCCAGGACGGTTCGTAATCGTTCGAAAGAGAAGCCTCTCGTTCATCTTCCTTCTCGACACTCTCATTTTCTCCCGGTTGTACCTCCATGCAACGAAATGCGGTAGATTTATTATCTGTTACGTCGTGCAATGTCTTTTGAGGCAGGTTAGGGTGCTTAACTCAACATTAGCCGTTCAGGTGTACCCCCTACGGCGGCGCTGTTCTGCATTCTGTCCGGTGAAATCGGTTGACGCGCGCGATCAACCTCGCTAAATCACTAGCCGAGCATTAACAACTGTTGCAACGGTATAGAACGTTTTATTGCGTATAATTCGCGTGGGTCGACAGAGCCCACGCGTCCCGTGTGCTTGTAATCGCGCGTTCGACTGAGCGCCCGAGTACTCCCGAAGTCCCTGCTTCTCGCTCGTGCCGTCTCTTCCTGCTCGCGCTACCCGATCCTCTCTCTCTCTCGAATACTCGCCTACGGTCGCTCGTTCTCCCTCTTTACGCGAACCCCCACTCTTTCCTTCTCGCACCAACGACTCGTTCCTGCGTTTTCCACTCGTTCCTCGGCTATCTCCGTCTCGCTCCCTCTCTCTGCCTCGCCATTTTTTCTCCGTTATCACTGCCGCTCTCTGTCCCTTTCTTTCGATTCTTCTCGCTCACCCCTCGACTTTTCACCGTCTTCTCGCAACAAAATACGCTTCGTCGTACACCGAGCCTCTATATAAGCTTCCTTCGGGTAACAATTAGTCCAAGGGAGGAACCTCCCACAGCTTCTCTCCGATTCTACGCAATCGAATTTCCATGTTTTTAAATTTTCCTGCTTCTATACTTTTGAAAGTTTGAAAAGAGACGAATGAACGTCGCCATTTTCCCTAGCTATCGTGATTGCAAGTGTACAATCAACAAAATATGTACATAGACGCATCGATCATCGGTAATTACGATTCTAGCACGGACCGTTTCTATCGGTGCATAGATCGTTTCTTACCAACGATCGTGCCCCGCTCCTCTACCTTCCTGTTTACGTTTCATTTCAATACTTTCCCTGCTTTCTTTCGCGACATACGCGTATTACGTCACGCGTCGACTCTAGCATAGGCGTTTTCGATTGATCGTTTCCTATTCGACGAACGACCGTTTCGTATCCCGTTCGAGCGAGCACCTCTCGCCTTTCCTCTTGGTAGCGGCAACGTCTTCGCCGCGATGAGAGATCCTGCGAGACCCAGGACGGTTCGTAATCGTTCGAAAGAGAAGCCTCTCGTTCATCTTCCTTCTCGACACTCTCATTTTCTCCCGGTTGTACCTCCATGCAACGAAATGCGGTAGATTTATTATCTGTTACGTCGTGCAATGTCTTTTGAGGCAGGTTAGGGTGCTTAACTCAACATTAGCCGTTCAGGTGTACCCCCTACGGCGGCGCTGTTCTGCATTCTGTCCGGTGAAATCGGTTGACGCGCGCGATCAACCTCGCTAAATCACTAGCCGAGCATTAACAACTGTTGCAACGGTATAGAACGTTTTATTGCGTATAATTCGCGTGGAACTCGCGCGACTCGATTAGCTGGTGCGCGTCGTGGCGCGGCGCGGCGCGGCGAGCTTCGCAGGCGGAGGCCGTAGCGCGAAGCAGCCGCGATCGTGAGGTCGGCCTGTTACAGAGATCTCAAGAAAGGGTGGACACTGATATCGCTCCAAGGTCACATGGAAGTTTTCTACGAGCTACATGTGGGCCAGTAGGTCAAGTCGATGTTAGAGCGACGCGAAATAGATCGTGCGTGTCGAAATTGCTCGCGTTTCGTTCACGGATACCGTCTCGCTTACGCGTCAATTAGAATCCGATAAGGCCATCCGTCGATTTCGAGCCGACCCTCCTATCGTTCGATAAGGAAACGTCTCAGACATCTAGATTAGACTCTTTTTCTGCACCGATTTTTATCGCGAAGATTACCGTTACGAATTTACGAACGACTCGCAAGCTTTCGTTGATCGATACTCCACGAAGACGTTTACATTTTGTACGCGTTGTTCGATAACAAAGGACGCGGCTTGTTTTTTTCTCTCTTCCGTGGAAAAACGGTAAAGATCGATCACGGCAATCTAGCAATAGCGTCGCAGTAAAATCACGAAGCCACCAGGGATAATCCCTGTAGACGATACCATCTACCTTGAATGTTAAGATTTATGCGTCTAATATGACCGGTATTAATTCATAAATCCGGAGGGCATTACCATCTACGAAACTCGCGATTCATAAATCCCGAGATTTATGCGCGCAATACCAAACACGAGATGGAAACGTTCGCTCGGTTGCCCGTGATGTGGTGCAGTTAAATTAACCTTGAAGCGATTCAATTGCTCGAATAAAATTACGAATCTTTGCTACTCGCTTCTTAGCGTACCGTCCACGATTAAATATTCCACGTTCCTAGTCAACGACGGGCAAGAAGACGATTTGCTCCAGTGGTCGAGTATCGAAGCGTTCGCTGTTCGTTTAAAAAGTTACGTCGGCCTGACAGCCATCGACTTAACTAGCTAAAGACCAAATGACCTCCTCTGAACAGATTGACTCTACGCAGAATGAAGCATGCAGAGTTCCGAATTTTCAAAAGCCATTTATCCTTGATCGCCATTGTGCAAAATTAGAGAAGCCGGCCGACACTGGACAAAAATGTTAGTAACACCGACACCGACAGCGTCGATCGGGCCAAAGTATATTCGACAAAACAATTTGCAATTCCATAGTGACATCCGAGGCGAAGATCTTCAGCCGAGGAGGAGATGGAGGTCGTTGCTAGAGGAGGTGGTGGTGGTGGAGAAAGAGAAAGAAGAGGTGGAGGAGGCACACGGGTTCGCTTTTGCCTGAGCGTACCCGTTCGTTCACCCTAGCGGGGGCACCAACCTGGCTTTACTTCAGTTACACGCCGAGAGAGCCGGCGCTGTATATAGGTATATAATACATTCTCGCGTGTACTTACACCTAGTATAGGTAGGTATACGGAGTGTACAGAGAGTGTCCCGGTCGAGCATGATGTGGTTCCATGGCCCTTTACGAGCGAGGCGGGGTACCGACTTGCCCCGTTCTCCAAAGAGAAAGATGGAAAACGTTGCGAGAGAAAGGGACACGGGCCAAGCAAGCCCTTGTGGTTCGATCGCTTTGGACGAGCCACATGTACTTTCAAAGAAATTTTATACCCCGACATAGACGTTACCGTTCGATCGGGAAAATTTTGAACGGTGCTAACGAGTCTGAATAGTTTCTTCGATTCGATTCGACGAACCAAGCACATGGCACGCACATTTTATCGCGTACATCGTTTTTTTCGTTTCCATTGTACATAATTTTCCGATGATGCGCAGTTTGCGTTGCTCGGCTTGTCAGAAGGGTTCTTGACCCAGCACGTGGTGATTCCGAAACGCTGACTATTCATAATAATGACGCTTATTTACTAGAGGATTGCTGAAATAGCTAAATTTACCACGCTTTCATATTATTACGATATTTAAGAATCGTAGAATCATGCTGTTTTATATGCAGAAAATATTTATAACTCTTTATTCGTTTTTATGTGACTTTAATATTACATAGGAAATAAATTTGATACTCATTAACGAATAAACTTAAATTTGTATAATTAAATTTACGAGTATAAAGAAAAGGGGTACGATAGCGTTATTAAGTATAACCACCGCTATGCGTGCTAACCATTCTGATGGACACTGGATCTGTTACAGTATCTGTTGGACTGGATGTTTGTTGTTGATGCGAATAGCTCACTTCCATATCAATTTCGTCTAATTCTTCTTCCTCTTCTTCATGGGTATCCGATTCCTCTTCTTCTTCTCCTTCGCCTTCTTCTTCTTCCTCCTCTTCCTCCTCTTCCTCGGATCCTCTGAACTATACACGATGCCATTTGTATTATATACAATTTCTATTTTCTCGGAGAGATAAAAGTAATATAATACGAAATAATTTATCGTATTCTTTTAATACTATAAATAAGATATATCAAAGACCAATTATGGTGCAATGATTATTTTTGTACAGTACTCAATTATGCAGAAATGTGCGCTTTGAGAATTGTACTGCTAGTACCATCTTGTGATCACGAAGTTAACTAAAAAGAAAATTGCGTTCTTTCGTAAAATAAATTGTTCTTGCGCTTTAGTGGAATGATAATGTTCTGCAGTATTTATACATATATCTTATTGATTTTGAAAGCATTAAAAACATTTGAAAATTGCGATTTTTTAATTTGCAAATCTCTAGCCACCTAGCGGCAAATGACGTGAAACTAAGTTTCGTTATCTCTCTTCGACGCCATAAAAGTTTATAGAGTTACATAAAGTACTTCAATAACAACAAATAGAAGAAAAAGTGCACGATATCGACTTCAAATCACACGTGTCAATAAATACTTTAAAAATGGTACTACTACAACCATATGATGGTGAAGAATTAAACTAGTTTTTTATCATAATTCCGCAGTAAAACATTAGATGGTGCTGGCGACATTGTTTACTTCATTTTTTAAGCCGTCGATAATAACTTGCATGCGGTAAACTAATGAAATTATTTTAGAAAAGTTTTGTTTTGTTGACATATTTGTAAAAAAAAGAAGCTATCTGAATAATGATCTATAAATTGTCATACTGTCTTTATAATGCACATAACGTAAAAAGTAGGGTTAACTTACGTCGCTGACTGTTTTCCCAATCGGAATATGATCGTAACCTTGTACTCGAACGTGTTCTCGCTAAAACAAGTCGGGACAAAGAAGAAATCAACATAATTTCACTTATACAGCACTGATTGTTTAAATATGTCAGTTTGTAGCGTGCATACCCACGCTTGGTGTTCTGCTTCTAGTGCAGCTACTTCGCTTTCGTCGTCACAAGGCCTATCGGCATTGAACCACAAAGGATCAGTAGCTCTAGGTTGCAAATTAGGCCATAATGGCATAATTGACATAATGGAATACGCGATTATTGTCACTACGCGATAAGAGCGTCGATGTTTTAACTGTCAAATTGTATAACGTATATAAACGTTGTGCGCATGCACGAAATCCATGTGGTCGAATCTGGCGCGTTTCCTTCTAAATACAAATGCTTTTTTACGTTGTAACAATGTAACAGTAAATATTCCAATAATTTTACAGAAACCACTATTTATATGATTTTCATGATATCTATGTAAGTTTAGTCAAGCTATTTTAAATTTTGCGTAATAATTCTTTATTATGACCTAAAATATTTTAAATATTGCATATGTGCCGCGCGAATTTTTTGCGCCATCTATTGTAATGGTATGAAAACGGTCCCGTCAGTACTCTAGTGTCACGTGTTTACGCGCCGAAACCATTAAGCTCGACTCTTCGTTATATTACATCTACGGCGGTGGACGAAGCCGTGAAAGTTGTGTGCAGTTTATTAATGGATCTGTGATAGACCGTTTCAGTGTTCACGCAGAGAAATCTGCGAAAGTATATTTTTATTCATTCATAATAATCGTACTGAAGTATTTTCATAGAAGAGAAGTATTTTCCGCGATATAACCTCGACATTTTATAAAAAGGTTTGTACTAGAACTGGTAACCTTTCATACATAAAATTAGGACACTCTGATGTAATTATTCAAAAGTGACATGATTGTTTTTAAATTTCAATTTATCTGTCACATTTTTATTCACAGTCGTTTACAATTTGAATTATACAATCGTATCGCCAACTAAATTTATCATAGTAGGACGTAATAAAGTAACATACGATCAAATCGTAATTTTGATGTAACAACCTGAGTCGTTTTTAAAGAATCGCATATTTTTTTAGTAGACGTAGAAAGTACCGCGCTTTCAAAAAAATAAAAGTACCTCGATTTCTTTTCTTTAGGAGTGTTCGTAAACAATACGTGTTACGAGTACTCCACACCGTGATAGTTCCGACTGATAAAAAGTGAATGTATCTCCACTCGCTATACAACTCACCTCCTTTCTCGTCTAAATTACATTTCGAAGTTACACGTTTCTGTTCGCCATAAAGAACATGACTTATGATTAAATGATTACCGTGCGAACTGTACACTGACATTTTTTTATATAAATTTCGAATTTAACCTATCGGGTTTAATTAATCACAGTTAACTGTCATCGAGTCAATTGATGTCAATATCATGTGCTCTCCCGATTCCCTTCTATTTTGCACTACCGACCGAACCAACAAAATCTACAGGATGTTTGAAATAACATGTTCCGGCGACGTAATGAAACTAAATGGGATGCATCGAATAAAGACGTGCAATATTATTCCGAAATCTTTTTAATCTCACGATTTCATCGAGCAATATGCCATCGTAGGAATTAATCAATGGTTGGAACATTCTTTTCCGGGAAAATTATAACGCGTAGGTCTATCACGGAGATCCGGTATTTCAATATAAGAATTCTTGAGCGTCATCATATCGTCGACAATGCATTCGTGTAGGATTTCACGTGTCATTTTTCTAGTATATCACGTGAATTATCCTCCTTTGCTAAAATGACTTCATAAATCATTTTCATGACATTGTTAAAGCGTATACTGTCAAGAAAAAAAACACTAATTTCCTGCAATTTTGAATTGTGATTCGAAGGAGCTTCACATCCTTTTAGTATAACGCTTATCTGTATTGTTCACTTTAATCGCTTGTGGTTTCTTGGTCGAAATTGCAACCGCAGCAGTATATCATATTATCGTAATAATTCCCTGTTTTTAACTTATTTTATCAGTTTACCGACTTTTCGACGCTATTGGTTTTAACTGTTTTGTCTCCTTTTCGAGCTTCTGTGTTTTTTCCGGCTACCGCTTAACAATGGCGTTTATTTAGCTGGCCTAACGATGTCGAAATATAAGATGTAATTATCCGATGCATATCACGCGTCATTTACACAAGGAATAATATTCCAATTACCGCGCATCGCGACAGATACGAAATACGCTACTGCGATACCAGAATTAAAGGAATTTTGAAATACTTCGTCACATTCTGAGTAGTGTTCGTCAAGGATAACGGTTAAATCGTTACATGCGCAGTATAAGGAGATAATCGAAGTGCATATCTAGTACTCGAAATGGTTTCAGCACTAAATGTTTTTCTTTTTGAATGTGTATATATGTATCGTCGTTACGAAAATATAGTTCCATTATCGACTTATCTTTTAATCTAAAACCAGAGTTTCAATGCCTACTAACATTTATTTTTATGTAATTATGCAGATAACGTAATGCTAGTTTGATGAGACTTTTATCGCAGACTTTTCGCGTAAATATGTTTGGAATAAGAAAGGGAAAAATTCATTTCCGCAATTTACCGTTTGAACCATTTTCTCTTCCGTGTTTCGAGACAAAACAAGACGATGGCAACGGTAACACGAGCGTCATTTAAAATATCTACCAACGTATGCTCACGACTTAAATAAAATATTTTTCCATTACAGATTCGTGATTAATAACATGTACATTGTAAGAACGTATCTCGACGGATTTTAACGAATTATCGTTTTATGTTGCAAAACGTATCGCATTTCTCTTTCAGCGAGAAATATTATTTTCTTGCTAGATTGTGTTTTGAACATTAATTATGAAATATCAGGACGGGTCAACTGGAGAGCATAAATCTGTTAATGCATAAATAATTAATATAAACTTATTTAGGCTGGTATCAAATAAAAATATTAATAGTCAGATTACAGCAAATTCTCGTCTTACACATATTTCCACTTGTTACATTGCCACTATTTGTACATATAAACCCATAAGAATTCGCCTTGCAATTGGAATGGAACACTGACGATATCTCCACAGTGGACCACTGTATCTAATCGTGAGGATATTGCTTTAGAAAGTACGTCGACTAACGTTTTTTCTCATTCCGACTCTTTGTTCGCGTTTTACATCAGACTAGTCACGAACTCTTTTGTTCGGTTCCAAACGCGTTCACAACCGATCTGGCAAAATGCCGTATTACGAGCAACGCGTTGATCAGTCGAGAAAGAAATCATTGAAAATGTTGCATAGTTCATTAGATAATAAACTTGTTAAAAATTTGTAGAGATTTATAAGGTTTATTGTTATCGCATGTTTACGCTGCTATAATGTAAATGATATAGATAATACCATATAAGGAATCGAATAGTTGGATAGAAAAATATAGTTATCGATATTTGAGTCCGATAGTGCGCATTAATCGTCGTAAAATTCAATATTCTATGTGATATCGATTACGCGATATCATAAATGTTTTCTTTTCCGAAGCTGACGGTATGAATGTGCAAGCAACAGGTGTCTTTTTTTAGTCCGCTTTTAAATCAGTTTGAACCAATAAAAAAAGACATTTACTGGTAAAAATTTGATATGCCGTTTATCACATCGAGGGCACAACATATTCACCCCTTCTCTGCCTATCATTATTACGGTGCCAATAAAGATTCGATAAGTACTTGTAGCAGTCATATATAAATTACAACCGGTAGAATTTAACAGGCATCTGGCCTTTGCTCTCAGTAACATTTGGTATTAAATTCGAGCTGCGAGCAAATAAGATGTTATTTTTCTTTTCCACTCGATAATAATTAAAAATATTGATACTTTTTCGCGATAACGGCGCTGTCTTTGGTAATACGAAAAGTGCGATAATTATTTCGATGACACAGAAGAAATTTTAATTCCTTACGATTGTTACACTTGAATTTCGAAAAACGTCGTCAGAGGCGTCGTAATCTGCTTATCGAGTATAACTGGTTGCATACAATTTTATTATCGATTTTACACGTCTGGGAAATAATTATTTAAATTTCTTTTTTATAGATGTCTCACGACCATATGGCACACATAATGAATTCGTCAGGTGGACACATGGCCGGTGATAGTCATGCATTCCATAGGGATATGGATCATTCGAATATACACGAAAATGTGCATGCGTCTATGGATCATCAGCATATGAACCATGGAAGTATGGATCATACTGCTCATACTGGTCATACCGCTGAAGCGTGCGCTAATATGGGGATGCATGGTATGTTGGTATGTATCATACACAGATGACGAAACTTTCGCTGGTTGTAAAACAACGATTGTATTTGCAGATGACGTTTCATGGAGGGTACTGTGAAAACGTATTGTTCGAATCCTGGAAGATCTCGTCGATCGGAGGTCTCGTTGGTTCGATGATTGGTATTATGATTATGGCCGCACTTTACGAAGGCTTGAAGTATTATCGTGAATACTTGTTTTGGAAAACGTACAATGCACTCCAATATCGAAGTGTCACGATGCCTCAAGAAAAGAATGTCGTGGCCGAGGATAATCGAGTCGTGCAGTAAGTTTAATTTGTTCTTTGTTTTACGTATATGGATGAATTTAATTCTGAAATTGAGCTTTACTTTAAATTTGAGTACATGAGAAATTGTTATTGATTATTGAACTGAACTTTATTTTATTTTATTTTCCTTTTTTTTCTTTTAGTATGGTTGGAGAAGTAATTCACAAACAACCGTAAGTAATTGAGAAATAAACCTATTTGTCTTGTTTTGTTGTTTTCTTTGTTATAATGCTTGAATGCCTTTTTAATAACTTCATTTTTTTAAGTATCAAAAGTTTAGCTGAAAACTAATGTTATTTCTTCCATACTCAAATTTCACATGCTTTGCCTTCTATTGTTAATTATAATCATAATATATATAAGCTATTGATTTATATATAAATAGATATTAATTTAATTTTTTAAATTGAAAATTCAACAAAAATTAATATTTTCCGTATAATTTTGTGCAGGCCCACAATGTTATCATGGATGCATACATTTCAAACATTGTTACACATTGTGCAAATAGTGCTGTCCTATTTTCTTATGCTGATCTTTATGACGTACAATGTTTGGTTGTGTTTTGCTGTAGTGTTTGGTGCAGCAATTGGTTACTTCTTATTTGGATGGAAAAAATCTGTTATCGTAGATGTTACAGAACATTGTCACTAGCTAACTATATGTTTTACAATGTATTGTATTTTTCACGATAAAAATGTACATAAGTGTACATTGCCACAAAGTTCATATTGCTCAGAGGAACTTTGAAATAATGACATATAATAGACACGTGCAGGAAGTATAATTGTCCTAAATTTGTATTTACAGAAATATATAAAGGAAAAGTTTTTAATTTAAGTTTATTCCTATGCATAGTTATTTTATGCATACAGAATGCAACTTATAGTTGCTCGTTAAAAAAAATAGCATGATTTAATCATTATTGCATAAAAAATATCTATAAAATGCAAATTTGTATACAAAAATACTGGAAGATTGAATCTTTGATTTGAACAACTATAACACACTTAATTTGTAAATATTGTTATGAAGTTCGAAAATGAAAAAGTACCACAAAATACGCGCACACTTTTCTCCAAACTTTTACACGTTTAATTTTTTTATTACAACGTATTTTATAAATATTTACTCTTTTTAATCGATTGTAATGTTTGAGAAAAAGTGTGTAGTAATATCTTAAGCGTCGCATACATTATGATGTATCGTTACAATATAACGTTATCGACGACTGTATTATTTAAAATTATTTTAGCAACTATTTTTATTTGTAAAGTGTAAGAGAATATAAATATAAATTCATTTGTGTAATTAAAATTCTAATTAAGGTATCAATGACACTTGATCAATACATTTTATCAGTTTTAAACAAGCATGAAGCATTTTTATTTTTCCTGAAAAATCGAATTTTAAGCTTATAAAATTCTGTAAATGTAGACACAAATTATTATTTAAAATGTATTATAAAAATCTTGGCTGCCATTTTGACAAGTATAAGATAATAATAAATAAAGTGTTGTATAATAAATGCAACACATATTGTACAGAAATGATTTTTGTAAAATCATTAAGAAAACTCGTGTAGAACTGATGACGTATAACACAATTCATAATTAATAAAATTAATCGTTTATATACTAGAACAGTTGGTCAGACACTTCCATCTTGATATGGTTAAATTCTATATGCTATTTGCACCTGAACCAACACATTATTCTGTAAGATGCCAGAGATTTATATATCTCACATGTAGCTATACAAAAAGCACCAGCATGCATGTCACGTTTATAATCAATGCGAACCGTTTTTCGTTGGAAATAATCTTTAAATTACAATAATATTGTATACTACTTATTTCTTTGCATGTAAAGCATTACTAAAGTATCAAGTAACTTTTGCATAAGTTACAGTACTTTAGAAATGCGTTTCATACATGTAAGGTTGTACAAAAAGCTTTATTTAATGTGTTTATAATACTATTAATTTTGTAGGAAAATCTTTAAACATCGACTGCAGAGCATTCCAAGAGCAGCAGAGTATGTTTTGTTGTATACATGTCTCAGAATCATATATGAACGTGTAAACATGATTTAAATGATTTCCTGATAAATATATTATACCGCCACTGCTCTTAGCGTGTGCTGCAACGATAAGGCAAATTTAGATTACAAAGCTAAATTACATTTTATGTCTATTTCTTATTTATAAAGCGGTTGATGGTAATGATTATAACTATTATTATTATTATTATTTTATCACAAGCCAATGGTGTACGAAACACTTAAAATACTGTTTGTAGCTCAAGAGCTGCACAAAGCGTGATACGAGTAGGACGTTCAATTTGACCTTACACTTTACAGTCGTATTCTGGAAATATCAATCATAAAATATTATTTCTTTTTGTGTAATTTGCTAGGTTACTTTTACGTTGTGTAACGAAACTGAAAAGTGTCATGGAAATCAATAAAATATATGGATCCAAATTGTGTAAATGTCGAATAAATATGTTCATTGGCAACATAAAATATATTTCTCGTAATTAAAAACTGAATATAACGAACAGAAACTACTTGTAATGTTAACATTCACCTTATTACGACGAATGATCGCAGACAGGCGAGAGATCTCTTCAAATAATTTTGTTAGACCTAGAAGAAAAAGCATGATACATGCAAAATTGTCACTATCATTAGTAATAACAAACATTCCTATTTTCCTACAAATTTAACTTATCATCACTTTTTGTAAAAAATTGTTGCCAATGGTCATGAATCAATTTTCAGGGATCAGAGAGAATATTAATAAGTGCTGTGTAGGTCAAAGAAAAAGGAATAAAGTTCTTATACTTCTATAATATAATGTCCTTATATGTCCTAAATACAGTGATTATCACTTTTTAAGAATTCATACAGTTTGCAACATAGTATATTCTTTTCAGGTATAAACATATTCTATGTGCACATTTAAAGAATACCAATTTTTGTCACAAAAATTATTATGCTTCTCTTTTTACCACTCATTTCGTTCAATTTCTTAACCGTGGGTCTTAAGAAATATGATTCATGCATTATGTTATGAAAACATAAAAATATTTAAATCTTATATCTATCACCTACTCAGCACCAGACACAGGCATACAACAACTTGAACGATGAGAGGACTGTTGTTTAGAAAGGTCAACTGTATCTTCTACTAATGGTCGCTCTAGTCTAGCTTCAAGTTGTGCCCAAGCCGCAACAGCTGCTCCAAATGCTGCTTCAACATTTGTCGCATCTTTTGCAGATGTTTCTACTAATGGAGGATCCCCATTTTCTGCACACCAAGCTTGAGCTTCTTCTGTAGACACCTGTTTTTCAGATTCTGGAACATCCACCTATAAAGGTTGCTTTTGTTTAGTCAACTGATAATAAACCATATTATATAGTATTAAGTATTTCATCTACTTACTTTGTTTCCAACAACTATAAATGGAAATGTTGAGCCCTCTTGAACATCGGCATAATAAAGAAATTCTGACCTCCAAAGTGCTAAATTTTTAAAACTCGTTCTATCATCAACCGCGTAAGTCAAGAGGCAAATATCAGAACCTCTGTAAAATGGTGTTCTGAGAGTTTTGAATCTTTCTTGTCCAGCTGTATCCCATATTTGAAGAGTATATGCCTCTCCATTAATTTCAATATCTTTATTTAAAAATTCTACACCAATGGTATGAAAACTATGTTCATCAAAATGATTTGATACAAATCTGTTCATAAGACAAGATTTTCCAACACCACCATCACCCAGGATCACCACTTTTAAAAGCGTCGATCTTTGAGAATTACGATTTTGTAAATTCCCACCTCTAGGTGTACCCACTGCAGTTGAATTGTTTCCTGACATTTTCCTCAATTTTTGTATTTTAAGATTAATAAAGAAATTATACGTTTAAAAATATGATTCTATGTATTTATATTTTTCACATATCATTAATATCGATATCAGGTCATTAATCTGTTCTACTCGTTTAACATTGTTCGTATCCAGCGATCCCTTGTCAACGTAGTAGGAATCAGCTGATTCTGATATCAAATAAGTCAATCCACTTTTTCCATAGAACATACACTTTATACTATCAACATATTCTCATACTTAATTTGTAACTTTGTATTTCTTTTATTTTGTGCAGTTAAATAATTATATTTATTTAAAACACTAATATAGTGATTTTCATTTCGAGACGAAGCATAACCTTCCCATTTTACATGAACAGTTTAACATTGATTTAAACAGAATTCAAATGAATTTTATAGGCGAGATTCTAGTTTATGCTTTCGCAATAGTCATATATTTTACCATATTTGCTTTTTAACTGAATTATTCCACCGAAGTTGTAATACCTTGAAGAGATGCCCTTTCGTACTGAATCATAGCCATCACCGAGTAAAATTACAATTTTCACGAACAGGTATATACCTATATATGTGTATATATCGCGTGTTTACTTGAAACCATTTAACAATAGTAAGAAACATGAAAAATCTTTCAATATTTTCAAACAGCTAAAATCTATCACTGCCTCGAAACATTTTCGTTGTACGCAAAGCATTTGACACTTTGCAGACGACGAAAGAAACGCCCATGTTTGATGTTGAACGCACAGGACGAATATGGCTACCTGAAATTATAAATAATATTAGCCTAGTATCGAGATAATATTAACTTGCTATAATAGAACATACTTCTACAAATTATTAATAATGTATTCATGTATAGTATTTATATGAGCTACACTTTTGAGTAATCATAAAATATTATATTAAGATTACAACTCTTTACTTCTCTCTTTTTTTTCTTTGAACGAAAATAATGTTTTTAAGCAATAAAAAATATAATAAAAGTTTAAATTATTTTCAGAATATTCGATGTATATATATATATGTGTGTGTGTATATATATATATATATATATTTACGCAATGCAATTACGATGGTTTGACATGTTACCGTAGGAATATGTTATTAGAATAATACAGCGATAACATTTGTATTTATAAACTATTATGTGCAAATAAAGTTCTTACGTTGATAAACTGTAAATATTTGTAATTATTCGGCTATATTTATGAAATTTAAATTGCATTTCCCTCCTAACTAAAAAAAGGTGGCGCTGTAGTTAGTCGAAAGATTATTACGCGTGCACTTATATAGATGTCATAGCAGTTTGAGAATGTACAGTAGTGTTCTCTCAGAATCTGAATTTTTAATATCAAAATTATAAGAACTTTTATGAGTTTGTATTGCAAACTTACTGATCAAATTATGATCACTGATTGCAATAAATAATTGTATATATTTCATAAATATTTCGTAAATATGGCAAATCCTCCAAACATAGGCCAATCTTACTTTTGGAGTTCAGGAGTTCCACAGCCACAAAATATGGGATATTATTCTGTGCCACCTCCAAATTTTCCACCACCAGATTTTAGACAACCACCACCATCTTATAATATGCCAGTTTCTAATTTACCTGAAAACAAAACTGGTAATTTTATTCAATCGTATCGTTCTATGACACCTTGTTATCAAAATGAGGTTCCAAATTCTTATCATGATGTGTCTTATCAAAGTCAAACAGAAATGCAATGTAATAATCAAAATTATGGAGTTTCTAATTATTGTCAGTCACTGACAATGAATTTTAATTCAAATTGGGATGATAGGAACACATATCATAACAGTGGGAATACAGAATGGGCTTCTAGTAGTTATTCATCTGACTGGGATAAATCGCAGAATAATGAAACTTCTTGGTACGAATCAAATAAAATGCAAGAAGATGATAGAAAACCTTCATATAGAAAGTATAATGAATCTCCAAGGGATAGAAGATTGGAATTAAGATATAAGGATAAAGAATCTTTTACTAGTCATTCTACTAGAAAGCGTTCTAAGAGTCCTGATAATAGATCAAGATCAAGTAGATCTCCTTACAGATCACGGTATGATTCTCAAAGAGATAAATATCCAAAATATCTTAAAAGTAGATCAAGTTCTAAAGATCATTCATATAATGGAGAAGACTCTGAGAGAAGATCATCTAGTAGAAGAAATAATTCATATACTTCACGTTCTCAGAGATCACATACAAGTTACAGAAGCAGAAAAAGATCAAGGTCTCAAGAATCTTATTCATCTAGAACTAATAGCCCTAACAATAATCTTCCTGCCAAAAGAGACCCAACTGAAAGAGAATTACTTTTAGAAAAATACAGGTAATGTGTTTATTTAAAACCAGTTTTGTGCAAGGATAATTGTGTTGTATCATGTAGTTTTATGTAGGCAGGATTATTGTGCAACAAGCAAAGATATGGAACGAAAAATGGATGAATTATCTGCAATGGGACCTGAAGGCATTATGGAAAATGCAAGAAAAGTTTGGACACGTACTGCACCAGCAGACTTGTATTATGTTAGGGATGAAAATAATTTAAAATTAATGAGAGGTACATCCAAATTGTATGAATTATGTGAATCATTCAAGAAAGTATTACTAGACAGAGCTACAGGTGCAAGAGCTTTGCAGGTATATTTATAGTAAAGTAATGCATTAGAATATCTCTATACATTTAAAAATATTCTTAATTTCTTGTTACATAGCCTCCTTATGAACCACCTCCAAGAAAAACCAGAGCTCGTTTATGTAGACATAAATCTGAAGCTTGTAGCAGCTCTTCTTCTGATAGTGATAGTTCAATGGATGAGGATGATAGAACAATGGAAGAATTAATGGCAAAGAAACAACATCCTCAAAGGTTACACCCTGAAATGTGGTTTAATGATCCTGGTGAAGTAAGTACTTCTAGCTTAAGTGTTGGACAATATTTAATCACATAGACATTTATGAACATATGGGTTTTGTAGATGAATGATGGACCATTGTGTAGGTGTAGTGCAAAATCAAGAAGATCTGGAATTAGGCATGGAATTTATGCCGGTGAAGGTGCAATAAATAAATGTGATTTAAATTCAAATAATGCTGATAAATTATATCACTATCGAATAACAATTAGTCCACCAACAAATTTTCTCACCAAAACACCAACAATTATTAAACATGATGAACACGAATTTATATTTGAAGGGTTTTCTATGCTTTCGCATTTTCCTCTTGTAAAGTTGCCAACATGTAAAGTGATAAGATTTAATATAGAATATACGATTCTTTATATAGACGAAAAACTGCCAGAAAATTTCACTATACGAGAATTGGATTATTTTCGTAAGTTTAATTTCATTGCAATTAACGCGTTACTTTTACTGGCTCGATTTACTAATGATTACTTATCTTTCCAGAAACTTACTTATTCAAAGAAGTATTGGAATTGGTAGATTTCGATCTACAAGCAGCACAAGACAAATCTGGCTGTGGACAGTTTCACTTTATGCCAAGATTTGTGCGCGACTTAGCTGATAATGGACAAGAAATTTTGTCCATGAATGAAGTATTGAATTATTTAATAAAAAGTAGCAAACTATTAATAGATCCAGATGATTTACCTAGATTAGTGGAAATGCCACAATATAAGTGGCAAAATTTTGCCGACGAGGTGAAAGGTATGATAGTCACGTATCCTGGTAAAAAACCGTGCAGTGTTCGTGTGGACCAATTAGATAGAAATCAAGCTGATCAGCCACCTGGTATAGTGGCATACCCCGAAATCGTACATTTTGGAATTAGGCCACCACAACTTAGCTATGCCGGAAATGCTGAGTAAATAGTTTTCTTTTTGTTAAAATATTACTTAGTCATCAAAAAGTAAATAAAAGTAATATTTCTAATTACTTATTTTAGTTACCAAAAAGCATGGAGAGATTATGTAAAATTTCGGCACTTATTAGCTAATATGCCAAAACCCTCATTTGAAGATAAAAGAAAGTTAGAGGCGAAAGAGAATAAGCTTCAAGAATTAAGAACTCAAAGCAAAATGAAACGCGACGTTACTGTAGACGTTAGTTCTGAAGGATTTTATAGAACTGGAATTATGTGCGATATAGTGCAGCACGCTATGTTAATACCAGTACTTGTTTGTCACTTGAGGTTTCATAAATCGTTGGACAACTTAGAACGTACACTGGGTTATGAGTTTAAGAACAGATACCTTCTACAATTAGCATTAACTCATCCCAGCTATCGTGAAAATTTTGGTACAAATCCCGATCATGCACGAAATTCTTTGACTAATTGTGGCATAAGACAACCCGAATACGGTGATCGCCGAATTCATTATATGAATACTCGGAAACGTGGTATCAATACATTAATCAATATAATGTCAAGATTTGGTGCGAGAACGGAAACTGAATCTTCGATAGCACATAATGAAAGATTGGAATTCTTGGGAGATGCGGTAGTTGAATTTCTTACATCGATTCATTTGTTTCATATGTTTCCTGATCTAGAAGAAGGTGGTCTAGCTACTTACAGAGCAGCTATTGTTCAGAACCAACACCTCGCCGTGTTAGCGAAAAAATTGAATTTAGAAGAATACATGCTTTATGCACATGGCAGTGATCTTTGCCATGACTTGGAGTTAAGACATGCAATGGCAAATTGTTTCGAAGCGTTAATGGGCTCGTTATTTCTTGATGGGGGTATAGAAGTTGCTGACAGGGTGTTTGGAGAAACACTTTTTAAAGACGAGGACGATCTTGCAAAAGTATGGGTAAATTATCCAAAACATCCTTTGCAAGAACAAGAACCAACAGGTGATAGACAGTGGATACCAAGTTTTGAACTGTTGCAGGTAACTACACGAGTTTCGTGATATATGTATTTTTAATAATTTAAATAATAAGATAATGTCAATATTCCTTGATACAGAAATTAACGAAATTTGAGGAATCTATTGGTATAGAATTTACTCATATTCGTCTGTTAGCTAGAGCATTTACCGATCGCAGTATAGGATATACGAATTTGACGTTGGGTTCTAATCAACGTTTAGAATTTTTAGGGGATACCGTGCTACAGCTCATAGTCTCTGAATACTTGTATAAATATTTTCCAGAACATCATGAAGGACATTTATCTGTAAGTATTACTAATGTGTAATCGATTAAACATCGAGAAAATACATATTTATATTTTGCAGCTTTTACGAAGTTCTCTTGTAAACAATAAGACCCAAGCTGTTGTGTGCGATGACTTAGGGATGACTCAGTATGCATTGTACGGTAATCCAAAGGCTGAGTTGAAAACAAAGGACAGAGCAGATTTGTTGGAAGCATTTCTAGGAGCTCTTTATGTTGATAAAGGTTTAGAGTATTGTCATGTGTTTTGTGACGTATGTTTCTTTCCGCGTTTACAAGATTTTATTATGAATCAAGACTGGAATGATCCAAAAAGTAAATTACAACAATGTTGTTTAACATTAAGAACGATGGATGGCGGAGAACCAGACATTCCTGTTTATAAGTAAGCTAGAATAAGATTAAACAGCGAATATACGAATATTGCTGTAAATTATTATCGATTGAATTTTTCTTTAGAGTGATTGAGTGTAAAGGACCAACAAATACGAGAGTATATACTGTTGCTGTATACTTTCAAGGAAAACGATTAGCAAAAGCATCAGGTCACAGTATACAAGAAGCTGAAATGAATTCAGCCAAAGAAGCTTTAGAAAAATCTCAAGGTATAGAATTAACGTTAAGCAATATTTCGAAATATAATATTACATTTTATTTAATTATCTTTTGTTGTAGACTTGTTTCCACAATTGGATCATCAGAAACGAGTAATAGCGAAAAGCATGAAAATGCAACAATGGCCAAATAAACATAAAGCAAGAGGAAGGTCTATGAAACCTAGCGATAAACACGATGATTCTGATTCCGGTCCACGTCCTAAAAGGAGTCGAAGTGAAACATAATAAATTATAAGAACAAAAAATTTCAACCAAAATTTGATATAAATGTATGTATAATTATTACAATGACGGATATAATACATCAAATTAGTAATTGTTACAACAGATGGCATAATAATGAAAAGAACAATAAATATATTTATTATGCTACAATCGTTCTTCAGTAGGTATTTTCTGTGTATCAGTAGTGGGGTCTAGTAGTGCAGGACTATCTTGGCTCAACACCTCTTCATTTTCTCTAATAAGTTTTTGACATAAATACATATTTTCTATAATATTTTTTAAAGACCAATGTTTCGGAAGTAATGCGTTGTTTATAGTAAATAAGCCATCTTGAATGCAGAGTACTTGGGTACAAGTAGCAGTACTATGAAGTTGCATACCCAGCTCATGTATTATGGTCTTTAAATACATATCATCTTCATTTACACAAACAATTTCTATAAAGTTAAGAAAACAAATATTTTAATATAAATTTCCGAATAGTTTAAACTTTTAAACGATTAAATATATTTACCTAATGCAAAATGTGGAGGTGAAAATTCTACACATTTAATTGTGTATATCATAGGAACATTAGGATCTGCAGGTCGAAGCGGACCTTTTACCGCTAAATCATATGCAGCTTGACTTTGCATATCTACTCCACATAATCTGTAAACATATAGTATTACATAGATTTTATCATATTGCGCTTGTAAATGGATATTACATGTATATTTATACATACTCAAACATTTTTCTTTGATGAGAAGATTGCATTGAACTACATATTCTGTCAATATGACCTCGTCTTACGTGTTTGTATGTAGTTTTTTCCACTATCTTCCCAGTATGAAAATAAGTATCTGTTGCTTGTCCAAGTAGTCCTTTTACTCTATAAAATCTTGTACACTTGATTTGTTTTAATTCGTGTATCACTCTGTTACCTCTATTAATTCCACAAACTACAACGCCGGATACGTCTGGATTCATGATTTTCATAGCTGCTAGTCTAAAATCATTTACTTGATAACGAGGCCCCACTACTAGTGGATGGTCTGCATAACTATCTCGAACAACAACTTTCATTTCCTTATTTGTTTCACCTTCTATTGCTACATGTTTCATTATTGGTCGTCCAGGTATATTATTAAGATCTGAAAACCACAGATTATATAATCGAATTCATCAATAAAGTATATCATAGTAAAAAACTATTATAACCTCTGCATAAGTTTGAAATGATTGTTTCTCTCATTTGATTGTAGTACATATCTGGGGGTTTATAGACATTAAATACACCGTCCAGTGCTTTGAACAGTGATCTTGCATCATGTACATACTTGTGTACTGTTTCTAAACAGTATTTCATATTAAAAATTTGTGTATTGATATAGTTGCTTTCTTTAACCTATATGTATTGAAAAGTAGTGTAAAGATTCATTATAGACGCAAGTTTCTAAATACAAATAATTGCACGTTTACGTCCGTACACACAACTTCTTGATTATTTTATATTTATTTCACCCTATTACTTTAGAATTATAAATTATTTATATTACTTCACAAAGCATGCAAAACACGTTTATAACCTGTTCTCGTGAATGACAGTCGTGTTTATATTGTTTGTCTCTTTCTAACTTGTCCAGAAAGAAAAGGACATTCAACCTGCATTCTTACACATGGCTGCAAGTTTCAAGAATTTTGGAATACAAGCATTGAGTAGCCGGCATACAGTTTTCAAAGGTATTTATAGAAAATTATGCAATAACATCCTTTCTTTCGAATATAGTCGCATTGTGTTAACATAGAAGTTTATGTTTTGTTTTAATCGATTTTATAAGAAATTTGAGTAGTTAAAAAATAGTTGCTGAACAAAAAAATTTATTAGAGGTTACGTGATTAAAAGTTATGTTCCTTTTGCAGCATTACTAAATAGTAGACGATTGGGAACAATGTCTCAATCGCTGATTAAAGTACCCGATGTGGATATCGACGGGCATGGAAGATTTAAATACATTTTAATCAACGTTTACGACGATACGAATAATGTGAGCAAAACCATCGTCAGAGGTTATGCCAGAGCACAGTGGCACTGTGAGTATTCATGACGAATATTTATATTAATATATCAGGGTAAACTAGGGTAAAAGAAATTGTGCATCAACAATTGTACACAAAAATTTTATTTAGTTGTAAATTACTTATAAGTTATATAGCATTAGGCTAAAGTTTCACATATATTCTTACATCGTGATATTGAATTAATTTGCTATTTACAATGATAAAGATACAGTCTGTACAGCTTTACACATTGATTATCATAAAAGACCTGTTGAATTTATTTATCCTACAAGGTATAATAATACTTGTAATATTTATTTAAGTACTCGACACATTTATTTCAAAATAAGTAAGAATCGAATTTGACAGTACGAGACATTTTCCATCTAAAAAAATAGATTTTGAGATTTTCTGTACTCTTGATCGATCTGTATGATTGATTTTTCTCCTTTAAGTACACGAAACTTGTATGTTATGAAATATGATTTTCATCTTGAATAATTAAAAGGGCAGTATGACACTTTCGTCTTAGGAATAAGGTAAGTAGGAACTGCATAATTGTAGTTGCATTTTTAATTGCATCAAAATATGCTTGATTCAGTTCAGTAATACATTGACTGCCACGGTAAAACAACATTTATAAAGGAGCTGGATTACTTAATTCTGAAATTTAAGCTTCTAATGTGTTATCTTACATTATTGGTACAATAATAACATTATTTGAAATTTTTAACTGCTTTGTTCTAATTGTATTAAATTTGAGGGATCACTGGTAACTCTCCTGGCAGTCAATGCAATGAGAATAAACGTTCAGTCGATGAAGGAAGAAAAATCGATACTCGAGTTGGTTTTTAGAGTTTGACCAAAATTTAAAATACTCTTAAAAATCACACAATTTCCCCAATTTTTTGTTTTCTTCCTCAAAAGTCTTAAACATCATTTTGACAATGTATCGTCGCGAGTCCCTCTCGATTTTCTGTCGATGACAGAAAGAAAACGTCATAGGCAACTTTTCCAAGCATTCCATATCTCTCCCGTTACTAAGAAGCTCTTCTGAAGCAACACCATGCTCTTTGTATATTGAATCCCAATTTGCAATTCTTGTGGTTCGTGTTCTTCACGTTTTTTGCTCCAATATTGTTTCTGTTCGATGATCGCGATGACGTTTCAATCGTTTGCACCTGCCCTCAGGTGCTGTCGCCCTCTTCGCAGTGTTCTATCAGATCCACGTCGACATCCTTTGATTCCTTCAGTTTCTCCTTAATTGGCTCCAGTTTGCTGCTTTTGTACTTGTGTCCGTTATCTTCTTGTTTCTCCATACCGTCTGTCATTTCCTCATAAGTCTTTCCATAATTCGCCGAAAGTTTCTCCGGATCTCTGATCGGAGAGGGAAAGCCGACCAGATCTGGGTCCGTGTTGCTGTGCATCAACGTGAACGGCAACTTTAGGGATACTTCACCACCCATTGCCGACATTAGCAATTTTACCTGCGCAAAATCGATTACGATACGTTTAGTTTAAAATAATTATAAATTTTAAAGAGAGGTGCACGATATAAATGGAGGAAGGCTCTCTCGAAATTCCAGAATCTTTGAAATTCGGAGACAAGCTTCTCCTCCCTCCACGCTTATTCATAGCCAAAGGATTAGAGCAAGTTACCTTCACGTAATACGAAACGTATATCGCGAAAACGTTTCTGTCGTCTGGACCGTTTCCAGGGCAGACGACTGTCGAGGCCAACGTAGCCCCTGCCTTCATGTAACTATCCTCCAAAGCGATCCAATTTTTCGTCGAACCTTTTATGGGTCTGAGAGTGTAGCTTTTGCTCAACGATGTCCCGGGACTTATCGGACAACCTTCTTGCGACGACAGCAAAGCCACCACGTTTTTGAATTTGCCGTTGCTGAACATGCATACGTCTACGTGTTGCACGATGAAAACCTGCGGAATAATCGTGTGTGATCAGTTTCACGGTATCGCGACCAAGTTCTAGGCGGAAACGGTAGAATTCAATTAGCCGTATCGAGTATTTCGAACTCGTCCCGTGCACACAAAAGTTGAGAGTTTGTTTTAGTTCGTTGTGCTCGTAGTTTTGAATCGCTTTAGCTCGAGGGTGCATTTAATTTAATCTTATTTGGAAAGCTTGGTCGGGAGCGAAGCATGTAACTAAGGAATTGGGAAAATTGGTCTGTGAGGAGATTTCGATTAAATTATCTGCCGAGGTTCGCGGTCTTTTTTCTACTTGTTTGTCTTATTATGAACGAAATACGGCGATATTAACTTATATTCTATAATATAAAAGCGAAGTATGCGTTAATAATTTAACGACCAGATCGTAACTCTGTTTTTGATAGAGTGACTTTTTATAGCGTCAAGTTGATAATTTCATATCACGACAGTTAATCTTCTTTTATGATATAAAAAGGGATATAGAATTAGAAGCGTAATTTGAACTTCTCACGAACGTTCTTCGCGAAACATTGAGAAACGCGATAGTTAAGTCAAGATAAAGCTGCAACGTTTCCGGTTCTGCTTTAAGCATGATACGTAGCCGGATTACACGAGCATGTTCGGAGAATTAAATTTTGCGCGGCTTTAATACTCCCCGAGATCGCGACTGCCAGTGTTCCCAACGAATTGCTTAAACGTGTTCGCTGATAAGAGCATCTTGGTTATTTAATCGTACCTCCCTGTCCTTTACTTTTAACAATTAGATTCGGTTTAAGGGTATATTTGCTTCAAGTCGAGCGGACCAGCTTCTTGCTTAATTAAAGTCGTGTTCGCGATTACAATCGCCGCTCACTGATCACACGTATAAAATTCGCTGGCAGTTTACTATTTTTCGTGAATTTTTTAATGCAGAAATTGGGGGAATTTATCCGCATGACGGAGCGCCGATACGAAGCAGAAAAAGCAGCGAGTAATAGAATTGTAGCCGTAGCGTTTCGCGTATCAAAATTTAATGCTTCAGCTTTCACGAGCGATGCAGTGTACCTATCTACACGATACGTTTCGCGACAGCAGCTGCAGCTCACCTTGATCCTTCTCACGGATTTACTGCTGTTGTTATTGACGTTGACTTGGACCGTGATTGAATCTCCGTGAGCATAAATTGCGCGATCCAGTTTGGCTTCCAAACCGACACGACCATCGCTCAGCAGAAATGGTTTTTCTACCGCGGCGTGTGGTACCGCATTCTCTGAAATCGTACATTCGACAAATTACGACGATCTCTAGGGTGTCTTCGAATACTCTCGAGGAGAGAACTTATCACCTACGCGACACGTGCTTTTCCCAAACCAGCATTTTGTTCGACTCGAATCGAACTACTAGGACTAACAGTTCCACCATTTGTTATCGTCAGTGATTGACACTAATTCTCAATTTCCCAAGCTGTAACTGTTTCGCACATTTGATACTGCATTCGAAAAACGCTCGTGTAGGTATAATTTCTCTCAGCTATAAAAAAGAAGAGCTTACCTTCGTCTTCCGCGATCTCGTTCTCGGCGAACGTGACTCTCGTTTTGCAAGCTTGACTTCTCGAGCCAGGGGACGGGCTTTCGGATACCGGGACGCTGTAAACGCTGGTGGCTGGCAATGGTGGTTTCGTAGTTCGTTGTATTACGCGGATACCCATTCTGACGGTCGTTTTCCGATGCAGTTTCTCGTCTGCTCGCTCGGCTAAATTTCGCGTTGTGTACAATAGCGAAGTTCAGTAACTGACTGCAAAGTTATTTACGGAATTCCTACGCGATATGAGTACCGAACGGAGACCTCCCAGCCCTCGCAATTGAAATTTAAAGCGATCCCTTCTATCACCGAGTTCGTTTCGAAATTCTGCTGTCGTTAAGCATTAAGTATGTAAGACTGGCTTAATTTAACGTCGCTCGAGTAACTCGTAAAGAAGTAGTTTAAAATTTATGCGATGAAAATGCGAACGAGCGTAAAATTAAATTGAAATTGTTGTTGCGTCGGTGACACGTCGAACTCGAGGAAGAAGTTCCGTATAAATTAACATCGATTCGATTCACTTACCTACGTAAGCTCTGACGTCGTAACTGGTGCCTATAGGTGCCCCATTGTATTCCTTCGCAGGCACCAATTGCACCGATGGGGGTGCTAAAGGCGTGATTTCCATGGTGAACGCGTGAGCGTTGGAACCTAATCTCTTCACTAACGCCTCCTGAAACAGGAGATCAAAACGTTATATTAAAACGGGGATTCCCAAGTGCGAGTTCCGAGATGAATCGCGTCAAATATTTAAATATAGAAGATGTGAAGGCCTCATTTTTCTAAAATATGCATCACGAATGAATTTTAGACTTCGAATATTGTAAGCACCGAATTTCGTGCTTAGTTTCATTATTCTGCGTCGATTGTGAAAGCGTTCAAACGATTGGAAATAATTATTATTGGTTAAGACGAGACCCTTGCTCGCCCTTTTCAACCGTTTCCTCTGGTTCTCGAAACACAAGGGAATATTGTTCGAGGACAGAAAGGAAAGTAAGCCTTGAACGTGTCACGAAATTATCGTTTCGTACGGAAACCTCGAAGACCTTTGACTCGGTTGCTCGATATCGCGCTACACGTAGCTCGAAATCTCTGTTAATTAACATTCGATGTAGATAGGTGTAATCCTGGCCGCTAATTTGCCTGTAAATCCTCTATCGACCGGTTAAGCGGTACAAATTTCCGTGAATCGATCTGTCAACGCGTAATGAACCAATCAACCGTATTGCTTTTGCGTGAGCCGTAGAATCTCTCTAAATGGGAATGAAATGATCTTTAGATCCGCGGGATTGAACGCGTAGGTAATTTCTGCATCGATGCGAGAAACCATCAGGCTTATGGATACTGAGATTTGCCTTATCGATATTGGTTTTTCATTTACAGCCATGAACGACCGCGTTTCTCTATATTCTCGCTTTTTCGTAACATTAATACCCTGATAACGGCATTATATGCGATGATCGACTATTTCGTTGTAATTGGCAATATTTTTGCAATCGAATAGCGTTAAGAGCGACAACCGCAATTACCAGAGAAACGTTCGCACGGTGGTGGTAGTCGCTGGTCCTCTACCTCAACGGTTAATAAGACAAATTTTTTTCTCGTATCTCGTTTAATCCTTTGGACGAGGTATCTCGCGATTCTCTGTTCGTCGGTGGTTGCAACTCGGTGGGAAAAAGAAGCGAGAAACTTTCCTCGAATTAAGAACATCATTTTCGTTTTATTGGAGAACTACAGCGAAAACAGATTTCCACGAAGAAACGAGATCTCGTAAGAGACGACTGCTTCTTGCGAGACCTTTGTGGATTCTTAGAAATACATCTTCTGAAAAAAAACGTTGAACGTACCATTCTTTACCGTGTGCTTATCCGTGTAATAATAAGCTGTAATTAATCGTAGTTTCATCTACACGGGTTAGAGGAATTGAAGAATTTTCGAATTTACCTGTTAATAGCATCAAGAGATATAATGAAAGTATGTAAAATCAAACGGCCGTCATGCCTTACTGTTCTTTCGCGGCTACAAATCTACGTATGAATTATTCCGCGTGTCACGTGTCGCTTTCGCCACTGCAAAGGGATGTTTGTCCAGGCTTATCGCATAGCTAAGTGTCAAGCATTGTCGAGATACGGTATTGTTGTGTATCCGCATATATACGTCAGTTCAGTCGAACGGAATCGTAACATGGCGAAAAATATTCAATAGATGCTACCGAGTGAAAAGCTCTATTCATTCCCGCGGTAAACAGTGGTCGGTTGTTGCGGTACCGTATCGATGTTTTCCTGATGACACGTTCGTTTCAGAAGGTTCTATTCTGTTGTAACGCGATATGTAAGCTCGAAGTTAAATCAATATCCTAGACGAAGATGAACCGTAATTTCCGTTAATCGTATCGGTTATACGTTTGCGCAGGAAACGCACCCTTGAGTTTCTCACATTTCTGGAGTTCTCGAATTGGTAGCTGATTCCGTTAATCGATCACGTTAACTCCGCGACACTCGTCGCGTTAAGATTTATATACAGGAGTTCACAATGAGTACCGCTTCGGCTTTATGTTTCGTAAGTGCTGACAGAAATTTCAGTTCCGCTCTAATAAATTCGTCGGAAAAATCCTTTCGCGCCGTTTCGTGGGAGTCCTTGAGGATCTCGAAAAGAACCGCGAGAATTGCGAAATTGGACTCTGGCGCACTGTGCAATTTAATTCTCGAAAACGGCGCGGCAAAAATAAAATAAAATAGAATAAAATAAAAAAGAAAGGAAGAGAAAAAAGGAGAAAGAAAACGTAAAAGCGAACGGCGCGTATCAAAGGGATTTATTCATGCAGGTGCACAAGATCTTTTTCTATTAAGAAATATTCTTTGAAGATAGGCGCGACCAACGATGCGTAAGATTTATACTCGATACCTTTACGACGCGAACGCCGTGCCTTTGATGGCATAAAGAGATGAGCCGGAGACGTCGAAGGGTCTTCGGGACAAAATGCTGTTCCACTTTTATTGGATTTTTCGCTTTCCTTTTGCCACGTGATCGCGATTGATCGTTTCAAACGGACAGACGTAAAATAACGTCTTCCATTTTTCTATACGAAATCTTTTCACCTTGTTTATGATGTTTCAGTTATCGAAGCGGCGCGAACGGATACAAACGTTTGCCAAAAGTCGCGCGTTGACATCTATTTTCGTATTTTTTCGCTGTAGGCGAACAGCTGAATCAACGTGCTGGAAGCTTGCGTTAAATACGAGCGTTTCTACGATAGACCTAATGTTTCTATATGTTGAGAAGCAACTCGTAACCAACGTAAATGAGAAGTTGGACGAACTTTCAAGGACAGCAAACGAACACGTTAGGGTTGTTAAAGAAAAGTATTTGATAGATGCTGAAAGCCCAGAAAAGTTTCGTCGCAGAAAGTTTTCGGCCATAAGTTTTGATATTTCGTAAGCGGATAACTTTCGCGCCAGCTTTGGAAAAGTTCCGTTTGCCGTTAACTCGGTATTTCTACCTTTGGCGAAGTAGTGGCCGGGTGAATTCTCGTACGACACGCGGCCAATTTTCCACGAAGAATTTGGAATTCAGTTCTATTTGACTTTGCCTTCGACACGGCTGATCGATTAGGAATGCGATTGAAAGGTCGAAGAAAAAAACTGCTCCTCTTTTATGTTTGCGTAATGTGCATGGTGATTGTTATCGATGGGAGTCGATCGTGACCCGTACTTAGAAAACGCATCTGGTATTCAAATCACTATTTTCAGAATAACATCTAGAGAGACATTACAGAGCTTATAAGATGTTTACAAAAAGAAACCTGAAATAATAACAGTTATTTCTGTTTGAATGTTCTGTCACGATTTAATGGAACATTTTATCTACAGTTTCTATATTTTCAGGCATCAATGTCTAGTTGATATGTTTCAAATAAATTTCACATAGTTTCAAATTTATCTGTCGAAATTTCATGTTGTCGGTTTAGAGTTTCGTAAGTCTCTATGTTCTAAGTCCTAAGTATTTGCCCAAATAGGAATCTCTTCCTCTTCGAACGCTCCCTTTATTCTACACCATTTAAATCCGTGACTCGTAAAATTGGATAGCAAGTCGTTTGAAGGATTTGTCAAGGGCTTCCCTGTGAATCGGGCATCAACGCACGTACAGAGCGTTTCAGGAAGAAATAACCAAATTTGAAAACTGTAAGGTTGAACACGCGCGATACCACGTATGTTATTCAGGCAACACTTGCCACGGTGAGATGCTCGTGTCGAGGATATAGAGGCCAGGGTCATCCGGTGCACAGGATCGAACCTGGTTGCGTCACGCTGCGCGATTCGAAGTCCTTTTCAAAGAAAAACGAAATCTGGTATCATTAATGGGTATCATTAAGTCGAAGCACCGTTCGTTTCTGTTATTTCTTTTTCCAAATATCTCACGATTCGAGAATTAATATCGTGCGATACTCGTCAGAGCTATTTTTGATTCCCTTAAAAATATCCTGCGGTATAAATATGCAACGCTTCTTAATATTCAACCATTTTTCCGTATCGCATTTGCATCGTCGTGTGACTATAAAAGGAGAAACAAGACGAAAACCGTGTCGTATCGCGATGAAATAGTTTTCCTCTGCGTCACATCGCGGGAGATGACATCTTTCTGTCGGAGGAATTTTGTGCCCATCAATGGCTGGCGGACATCCACGACGAGCGCACAGGGCGTTCAAAATCTAGAGGTAATTTCATAAGTAACCGTTTACGAGGTGCACAATGTTGAGTCGGAAGTGGTGGTCTACAAACATAAAATTGTTTACACGAGTGTCCCCTTTTACGAACTATCGAATAGCTGTAAACAGCAAGAAAATTATTTGACGAATTCATCGTATGTTTTCGTGCTGCTTGGAAAATATTCAGCTATTTTTTTACTTCTTTTGAATATCCTATCTTCTCTCCATTTCATGAAAAGCTCATCTCAGGAAATAAAAGTGGGACAACGGAGGAGATATCCTATTGACGGGATAATATCGAATCACGCGTTCTTTTTATCGCGAATTTCCTCTCCGGCCGGAAATAAATGTATTTAGTCAGATGTTAATTGAGAGTCTGTTGAAATAATATCTAAGGTACTGCTGACATTTACCTTTAAACGTCAGACATTTGTGCTTTAAACGAATAAAACGTATAGTTTGAAAATTCAGAGCACATGAATCTAACATACTTAAACGGAAGAACTTCCGACGAGAATCTACTCGCTATTCAGTAGATAAGGTCGAAATATCGAAGAATTCTCAGACGAGCATTATTCTTCGATCGGCGATCACTGATGCAACCTTCGTTTCAATTTATCGTCGATACGTAATTCATCGATGGAATGAATAATAAATCGCCAGCCAGGGTAGTTGGCGTAAAATATCCAGGAAAAGGGAGTAGACTGATAAATAATTTCCGAGTTGCACCGGGCGACCTGACTACAGGTCATAATTAATGCCAAGGCTACCTTGGCATAACCCCCAAAATTCTGGCTACAGGATTTCGCTCGATAAACGTTGGAACGTGTCTATCTTTTTTTCAAACAAATTACAGTAATTTTGTTGACTTTTCTTCGAATAAAGTTGAAGTGACTTTGTGAAACTTGTTGCCTTTGCCCGAAAGTCTGACTGTATCTTCAATTCGTGAATACTTTTACGCGGATACAATCGAAGCAGAATAAACTGCAAGGAACGGCGCGATACCGATCACCAACGAGATTCGACATTAGAAAAGAAATATTTAACAACGCCGTTTCGCGTGGTTATCGTTACAGCTACTTCTCAGTGATTATTGTACTGCCAAATTGTTATCGTTCGCCGTTCTAAAACCGACGGCCGTGTCGTTCTCCGTTTCAATTACCGAAACGTTCCATCCCGGTGTCTTCCCCCTAAGATAAACTTAAAGCATTCTAGAGACACGTTCCCCTGTTGTTACGCAAATTCGTGAAACGGCGGGTGTAGATAGACGCGACGACAGGCATCGTTTCAAGGGGATTTTCAGAAGCCGAACAGTTCCGTGAGAAAAAATAGCTAACTCGAGCCGAAGGAGAAGCGTAGAGACTCTTTGAAATGTTTCTTTTTATCGTTGCGTAACGTTTATTGCTATCTCGGCCAGACGAACGAACCATCGCGACCGGGTCTTATCGCGATATTGTTTTGCATCTCGTTGAATTACATCCGGGGTTTCTTTGTCGTCTCGATCGAATTTCATTCGTCTCCGCGGTGAAATTAAGTTTCTCTCGCTCGAAATTCTATTCATATTTCCTGAATTGTCCACGTTGTCCAAGGATTGTCGGAGTTTACGAGTTGTTTGCGTTCGGAGAGCCGTTTCTTTCCTTTCCGAGGCATCTTGGTTCCTTCTGTCGCAGTTCCCGATGGCTTTTGCCCTCGACTATCCTGCTTCTTTCCATTCTCCTCGCGGAACGAACGCACCAGACTTTAACTTCCATCCATTTCAATTACCCACGTTTCCGTTTCGTACACACGGAGATCCTGGTGCTTACCGTACACTCTTCGGTTGCGTCTCTACGATTTATCCGCGAAATTACGATCCTCTCCGCAAATGATCGCGTTCCGTGGTTGCGGCTTTCTTCGAGCGTCGGTAATCAGCTTTGCTTTCTCGGTAAACGAACCGTACTTTCGCGCGTGAATCAAGGCGATCGGTAATTAAACCTCACCTACGAAACGGAGTGATTTTAGACAGTCTACTCAAAGATTTCGAAGACTCGAAAATGGAAAGGCTTTTACACGCGACAGTTTCTTTAAATTTCAAATTCAGTTGTATCGAAGCTCCATCGCTATCCTCATCTTGTCGGAAGGATAAATTGACTGCCAGCGAAATGACTGTGAATGCGCTGCCAGCGAGATTCGATGCCATAAACGTTCATTTACGGCGCAGATATTGTCCAACGATATTGTCTGCGATATACGAATTTTATGGTGTGTAACCATAACCGCTTATCGTATACGTACAACGTTTCGCGACAAACGACTATAGTCATCTCTAGTAGCGATGGGGGTTACATATCTCTTCTGGTATCTTTCACGATTTGACTTTTTCTCGTGCGTCTACTATTTTCCATGTTTAGCGAAATGTTTTAGAAACAGCTGGTGTTAGAATGTTGGACGAGAAGCAAGAGAACAGAGAAAAGAGGGTTTGCCAGTGGAACGGTTCGATGCACGTTGTTCGGTGACGTGGCGCGTATCAGTTACGAGGCTTACGACCTATATAATACGCGTCCCGTATTTCATAAGCTTAATGCCTCATTTCCGAACGGATCAACGATCTATCAGATCCCTTAACGCCTTGTTCGCTCGAGCCTTACACGGTTTGCTGACCGCTGTAACGAGCCGATCGCATGTTATCGACTCTTCGCGGAAATGAAACGAGTCCGCTACGTTTCAACATCTACGCAGATAATTATTCTTTTTGTCCTTCTTCTCGATTTCTTTCTAACAGCGATTAAAAATTACTTTAGATTTGACAATTTACGTAATCTAACGCTAACCCTACTGAACGTGCAGCAACTGTACGGACGTGAATAATCCAACCCAGCACAATCCGAGGTTGCATAGCTGTTAGAAAAACTAGAAGTTCGATAGCTCGCCATTCGCGTGATTTCATGGCGTAATACGATTACAAGTGTGTACAGGTTCGAGAGTTTGTAACGTAATTTGATGAAACCCAATCTATGTGATTGCATGGCGATTAAAACGAGTAGAGATTCGAAGGCTCACGATTTATGTGATTTCATGGACGAAATATGATTAAATACGAGGGTAGAGCCGAACGTTCGTAACCTAGACCGATCCAATCCATGTGATTGCAATGTCGATTAAAAACATGTATTCGAAAGCTTGCAATTCACGTGATTTCGTAGCAAAGCGCGAATCGATGTACTTTCGAAAGTTTACAACTCGAATAATTCCATAACGCAGCGTATCGAGACAAGGGATTAATTTCTGTCACGGATGCAGAAGCAAACTGTGGGATCTTTCTGCACTCTCGAAGAAGCCTATTCGTCTGAGTGCTTCTTCCGGTTTTACGGTCGGTTAAGCGTCCCTCGTGAAAGAAAGTAAGAAAGAGGAAAGGAGAAAGAACGTCCGCTACAATCGAACAAGTGTAAGAGTAAACGCGTGTTCTGAAAATTGATAAATAATTGTCGGTGAAAGCGTAAGATTGCACGTTTGACATATTTCCGAGTGAATTAACGAAGCTGCGCGACTGCCGTGTATTTTACGCAACGACATGGAAGCGTAAGGTCGTAATCAATTAATGGAATAAGCCAGTCGCGACTTGACGATCAATTTCGTGCTCCGGTAATTAGAAACTTACGTACGCAGGGCCGATTGCAAATTACATTAACGTGCTACGTTTGCTTCCTCGAGCGTGAAACTCGTAGGATAAAATCGGTATACGGCTGCCTTCGCAAAATACGCTCGTCAAACAATTTTTAACGCGAAATTCCATATCGGCGAGGAATTAATCGTAGATTTTAGTGTTACGGTGTTTGTTCGTACGCTTTGCTTGCGGAAACAATAAACGACTACGTCGTCAACTGCATTCCGAATACGGCAATGAAATTCTTTCAAATATTAAACACTTCATTTAGAGAGAAGTGTACTAGTCGTAGTACAAACGCGCACTCAAAGGGGTTAATTACGTGTACAGACCTGCAAAGGCGTCGCCTCCTGGTGATCAGCCCCGGAATACGGAGGGTACAATTGAGCTAGGCACATAACAGCCTCGTTGCAGAATTTCAGTCCCATTACCTCTTCATCCTCTCTACCGTAGCGAAAAGTCAACGTGATTTGTCCGTACACCTGAAACGTTCGATGCGACGACTAATTAGTAAATAGGAAAACAAATAATTACGACCGTGTTCGTTAGCGCTTCATGGACATTATCTCTGTACTCGTTAAATCTACCGTCCAATTATTCGATGCTTCGATAACAGAATTGCCCGAGCCGATTGATAATTCGCGATAGCAAGTTTCCTGGAAGCTATAATTTTTCGACTCGAACAAGAATATATTCACGTAATGAATATTGCTTCACGAAGAAATTGTTTCGTGGTAAAATATTATTTTTTCCCCGGAGTTCATAGGTTCCGAGGGGGATTATTTATACCGTGGAAAGTAGAGAAAATTAAGGGAGATTCGAACAAAGTAACGTCGTTGAAAGTAACATCGACGAACGATGTTTTGTTAAAACGGCTTGGGTTAGTAGAAAGACTTTGCACTAAAAAAAACATCCTTTCAGTTCTTGTGGACATAAAAATACGAAAAAAAGGTACTTGGAACTTTTACCGCGGAAACTGTTATTCTTTTGACGCGCAGCTGTAGAAGGTGACCGTAGAACGCTTAAACTTTTTCTTGAAAGATCTTACAAGACTCCGGCGTCTTTATGAAAAAACACCTGCAGTTCAACAGTCTCGTAATACTTTTCATCTTATTGTAGAACGATATCATTCTAACGAAAGGAGGTAAGGAATTTGAAAAGTTGTAAAAAGGATCAGGCTGTAGCTTAGACCTCTCGACTCACCCTTTTGTCTTGCAAGTAGTCAGGGTCAACCAATAGCACGCCCTGCAGTTTATCAATCTTCGACTCGCTCACGATCAAATCTCTGCTCGCCAAGTAAAGTGTGAGCTTGTTATTCGGCGATGATTTTTTGTATACCCTGTGCAACAAAACGATTATTGTTTCATCGATCGCCCAAAGATTAAAACGGACGGAGTTGGAATAGTATACCGAACGCGTATCGTGTTCGATCGCAGCAGCGTCGAATCGGGACGTCAATTACTTTCACGTCGATCGGAACAAAATTCTACCTTCGAGATACAATTTTCTAATAAAATTCTGATCTCGGACGAGTTAAAGTTCTCGTGTAAGGGATCGAAGTCTGGTTTTTTATCTGCACAAAATGTGATGCACAAAGGGATGCTTTGATCATTTTCGAGGCAACCCTCGATGATTAGAAGGACGCTGTTAATAATCCTATTGATCACCGTTAGCGGCACAGACAATCTCGACGCTGCTGATCGATGTAACACCGGATATTTATTCAACGGTTTAATCCGAAACCGCAGTGTGTTACGTTGCTCTGAATGCATTCCTGTCGGGGACACGGAACACTAAGCCGCCCCGTTCTACATCCTCTCTTCTCATCCTTGCTAAATTATCAGTCACGGTACGAGTTCCGTTTGCTCGTCACTGGAACTGCCTCGACAGTTTCCACTGTTCTACCGTAAATCCTCTCCTTTTCAAGAAATCTCACGTTTTAACGGAATTTCACGACGAGTTGTACGGATTCGGAGAACAAGGTAATTTTGATTCTTCTACGTTCCGGGTGTATCGATGGAAATTCAATATTTAACAATTTTTCAATAAAACGTTCTATTAGTACCGGATCAAATACACGTGTTTGAGATTAAAATTAATTGGAGGTACTCGAAAGTTATCGTTTCACTCTGGTTCTGCGATATTTGCAAATCGATACGTCGGAATCGAGGGTACTAACTTTTTCGTAAATAATTGAAGAGACTTTGATTACTTTAAGTTTGTCTCCTGTTCCGAGCATGTAATTCTATTTTTCTTCCATTTTACGTCACGGATGTCAATTTTCTTGTTTCTCGAGAATGTATTCGTTATCAAAGGGACAAAGATAGATAAATTTCGAAGCTTTCCGGCGCAACGAAGCAGCTCGTTGCGAGGCTTTTGTCGCTTGTTTACCGACTACGTTCGTTTATATTTCCGGAGATGACCGTAACGAGATTCGGTGCCGTGTAACCATCTCACTCGAGAAACTTTTCCTCGGACGCGTTCTTCCGAATGGGGGATGATCCACCTCCGCGTGTACACAACTTTCTTTCGAGCGTAACGAATCAATATTTTTTTTATCGCAAAACCGATAACCATAAAGAGTTGCCGCAAAAACTGTCGAGAGTTACCTTTGACTGCTGATCGAGTCCGATGCGCTGTCGATCGTGATCTCGACTTTTCTGAAACAGAAGGAAATTCAGCGTGAATCGCACTCGAACACGAAATTAAGAAGAAATTGGTCGACGATCTAGATAACTGAAAGCAGAGATTCGAATCTCGCACGGAACAATCCAATTCTATTCCCCGCTCGCTCACGGAATAGTCCTACGTCGTAAATGCTTTTCGACCGAGGGAAACGGAAACGAGATTCTGATGCTGTCCTCTAACCCTCGCGTCTACTTTCGAACAGTGCTTTTTATGTTACGGTAGAATTCCAGGATCGTAACTTTCGGGTTCGGTCAGCCCAGGAGCTCGTCTTGTCCTACGGTTATGATTTATTCAAGAACCTGTGACGGTAACAACGCTATAAATCACGAGCGACGTACCTGAAATTCTTTCGAGACCTTTTTGTCTCGAGGAATATCTGTATCGTTACTCCACGGTTTTCCATTCGGTTAATTAATGATTGTATATGCGTAGCTATTCTAAGAGGACGTTGATCCCCCTTTAGCCGCGCTAATGGTTCACACGTGGATAAACGAAACATGATAAGAGAAAATCGACTCATCCTTGACCCGATATCATCGCTCGCGAACTCGCAGGATTTCCAAGGCAAAGAAAACGAACGGACCCTCCTCGAAGCTTCGACTCATCTTTTTTTCTCCTCTTTTACGACTGGTTATTAGTTTTCCGAAACAGCCGCGCTTGGCTATAATTCGTCTTCCCTTTCGTTCTCTTCTAATCTTTCCTTTCCCCCTTTTCCAAGACAATTACTATACACGACAAACACGTTTATTTCACCTATAAATTTCAGCAGATGCCGTCTTACGCGATATTTATTCGCCTGTTCCCTGTAACGCGAACTACGCACGATAAACGCGCGAAAGAAGAACGAGTGATTTGAAGTAGGCAGATGATCGAGGGGAAAGTCACGTCGTTACGCATTATTGTTACTGCGCGAAGCTTGTAAATAGTAATAACCGTCATCAATTCGTCGACGTTTATTTCATTGGTCGAGAATCGTTAGAAGGACGTCGGTCAACGTAATAAAGGTACGATCAGTTATTTTTCGCGCCTGAACCCCAGTCCGCTACCGAACATTACCGGCACATTAATGGTATTATAGAAACTTTCGTTTCTTCTTTTCCCTCATTCAATTATCCAATCACGAGAACTGCGACGTCTTTGCTATTTTCTCGCGATAGTCCTGTTCTTTCGAGGACCAAGTTTCAGGAGAAACTTTTCAATAAATGCTGTTCGAACTCGTGAATCATTTCAAGTGTCCAAGCAAGAATCCCGCGTCATTCTTTACCGTTTTCAGCATCCAAGGAAACACCGCGTACCAAGTACCCGAGAAAATAGGAGGATAATGGAGTCTTCAAGCTAGCTAGCAGACAAGATGAAAAATGTTGTCGGTGGCCGGTCCGTACGTTCACGCGGACGCTCCCAGGATAATACGTTCGTGGATTTACGCAGTATAACCATAAATATCTCTGTTTCATCTAGAGTAACCTATATACGTGTAGATGAAAAAATAATCGAAAGAGAACCTTTGGATGAAATGTTCAATATCTTCTGTTCTGAAAATCGAGGTTCATGCTTTAGGATCTAACGCTCCAAATAGTATTGTATTCCGCTAAAATGACTCAATGCGGTTCAATGCGATTGAACTTGATGCGATCCAATACATCGCGACTCAAATGGATGCAGTTCAATTCGACATGATTTAATTCGAGGCTACTCGATTCAAAGCAGCCTACTTCGATACGATCCAATTCGACGCGGTCACGATCCAGATTGCAATTGCTGGCAGTTTTTCAATCGTTTTTAACAATAACGCTTGTTTACGAGTTGTCGGAGTCCGATATTTGCGTCGATAAACACTCGTGTCTGTGCACCGTACGCGGGTGTTCCGATGAAATTTCAAATTACACGCGATGCAATAAGGAAACTAATTGATACGTCGTTTCGTTAACGATTGGGAATCGTGGCAAGACTCTTTTCGTTAATTCCGGAATTAATATCCGCTGTTTGTCTTTATTTTGATTCCGTCGATTTTCATTAAACGTTTCTTTATGGTTCGCGGAGTAACTCGATAAATTAAACGAAAATGTATCAGCGCTGTTTACGAACACGCGAAGAATAATATCGCGCGGTTACGTCGTCGTTCACGCATATAATAAATGCATCGACGATGGAGCTGAATAAATTTGCCACAAAATCGGATCTGCGAATTCCTGTTTCATTTATCGAACGATACGGCTGCCAAAATACTTTCACAACGATGGACGATTATTTACGCAGTAAATGCACGCTGTGCCCAAACGCGAAATGCGTCAACGCAATTTCGATTAAATTAGTTTTCCGACAATAATTGTAAGCGGTGTTAACGTTATGCATGTTAGTTTCGTGATGTATCAGGCGAAACATTACAATTGCAAAATGAAACGATCGTTATCCCGAGTAATTATAATTATATCGCTCTGCATGCGTCCATTTTCATTACGATATTTAACGCGTTAATACGGCAGGGTACTTTCGAAACCATAAAACCAAGGATTTCATCGAATAAATTAACTATGCGAAATAGATTAATGATCTTTGCGGAGAGTCTACAGTTCTTAACGAGAACAAAAGGTTTTGCCTTAAGTATAATACCTTCGTTGATTTCTGTTGAGAGTCTTTTCTTGTTGTAGTTAAGACAAGGAGTCAAGAATAACGACGAGCGGAAAATGTCAGGTTACAAAGTAAGGATGTTTCTTAACAATTTTATTATAAAACAACGTTGTTGCGCGTTCAAAACGGTAAATTATTTAGCATCCGCTTTCAAACAGTTACTCCAAGTACTGAAACACGTTCGAGGAAATTATTTTTGCCTCGCATCAAATGACATTCGTTCCATACAAAATGAAGTGCATTTTTTATCGTTGTAAATGGGCTGCTTTTTTTTTACATAAACGTATTACCGTCGTTTCAGGGTTTTAACTGTAAATGAATAAACGAACAGAGGAAACCTAGTCGATTTTCCGGATGGATTTTTGGTATTTACAGAGAAACAAAGTACAAAAAGCTAGTTGATACAGGGACAAATTGCTGTTTTAGGTTCGTCAGTGTTACGTTCGAGTTCCGTGAAATTGAAACGCGCGAAATTCATGCGCGTCGGATGAAATAACATCGAATTGAATCGTATTTCTATTTCGCTATTTCGAAACAAGAATTGACGGTCTTAAACGGTCAGTTTCAACAGTCGATCTCAATCAACGTCAGTCTCGTTGTTTAAATTATTTAGTCACGCTCGGTTATCATCCGCGGAGGAACGTCTCCGTTAGCGAAAATCCGTTTGAACCTTTCTCGATCGAATCTACGAGCTCAATTTCCTGCCAACTTTCAATTTGTTCGCAGACTACTGGGCTGTCGGGGTGCGAATTAATTAGCCGGTCGTAATTAATCAGACGAGCATCTCCCGAAGACCGCGGTCGTTCACGAACCATCTGTTGCGAATTCGCGATCGTTATAATTTGTCCTCTTGTTCGTTGGAGACCGCGTAAAAAGCGAATACGTCGATGGTAGGAAACGTGTCGACGTTGGAAAATTTACGGGGCGAATATTCCGAAATGGTTCGAGAATGAACGATAGCGAATATTTTTCACGCTGTTCGTTTGTATCACGGTTGGCTCGCGTTGAAATTTAATGAACGACGTTTTCACCGAAGCAATTAATTTGTGGAAGAAACGCCGCTGGTGTTTTACGGTGTGCTTCGGAGCTAATGATGACGTTTACGAATTGCTTCGCGAGCTCGGACGAATTAAATTTACTTGCCAATTTTCGACAATTGGCATTGATTTAACCTTTGGTACAAAATAACAATTTTCGCGCGTTCCAGTTCAAATTTCGAACGAAATAGGTCGGATAATGGGTACGAGGGAAGTTCGCGATCAAAACACGTGTCATCCCCTCTCGTCGCAGATCGTATTTCTCGTTAAATCAAATTTATGACGAATCAAAGTCTATTCGTACAAACTGGGATTTCATGTGCCCTGCACGAATCCGGTTTCCTAGGCAGCGGAAAATGCCGCGCAAATTAATTAACCCAGTTAACGAACACTCCCTTTGCTCGCTCCGAAGATTTTCGAATTTTCATGGCAGACGCGCTTATCCCCTTTTTCATTTCACCGACGAGCATCGATCAATTGTTGTTTTAATTTAATATATTTGTCGATTATTCGATCGAACGAAAAAGGTGTTATATCGACTTGTAAAAATAAAACATGATTCTTTGGAAGATTCTACTTTTGTTAAAGTGTTAGGGTAAAGCATCAGAATCTCGGTTCCCTAGATATTTCAAATTTTTTTTTCACGAAATGTCCATTTTTATTGCACGTCCTGTATACCGTTACTACGGCGTTATCGATAAATATCGAGAACCTTGAAATATCGACGGTGTACATTGATCGTTCGAAGTTTCCGTTATAAAAAAGAACCCATGACTTCCGAAGCGATTTACGATGGTGACCGCACCCATACTAGTCGTTTGTCAACATGGAAAATGTGGCGATAGTGGTCGACAAATCCCGGGGAGACATAGAAAAGGCAATGAAAAAAAAAAACGAACGTTGACCGTATCATTAGGCTAATTGCGAAGCTCGAAGTCTATTTTTTCCGTTTCGCGCATCCGCTCTGTTGGACGCGGTTGCTTTTTATTATCGGAGGGAAGAATATTCTAGGAGGTTTTTGCCGCATGGCGCTAATCCGTTTTGCTCGTGGCGATATAGCGCGTGACTAGTGTGGAAGTCCGTGCAACGGAGAGCTGGCTCAACCGATCATGACAGTCGTAAAACGAGAGTCTAGTGTAGTCGATAACACAGAAGAAATTGCGTGCTCACCTGTCCGCTTGCGTGTTGGTTGGCTGCAGATGCGACAACGTGTGGCTCTGTTGCAATCTTTGGTCTAGGTTCTCCGACGAGAACCTTTCCTTCTTCTCGACTGTCTCCTGTGTTTCTTCCTGCGTCTCGTTGTCGGTGCTCCTTTTATTTTCCACCTACGATCACACGTCGCGCGATTATTTACGGTTATAAATACGCTAGTCGTTTGTTAGCTAATTTTGTACAGCTTGTATGCACATATTTCAGCATTTCGTTCCGGGCATAATTTATGTGCATTAATTTGAATAATTCAATTAAGCTGCAACGAAATCCTCGTGCACATTTTTCTGCCGCGGTATATGAAATTTTAATGCGAGATTGGGGTACGTTTTTGAATATGCGTTGCTTTCTGGGGAGCCGTTAGTGCTTCGAGTGGTATCGCATTACTTGCGCAAGGTATCAAACGAGAAGATTAAACTGAAAAGATCGTATACCGAATAATTGCAATTATGAATGTGCTGTATAATATGCGTGCGTTCACTGTGGCAGAGTAATCGGTAGTTCCAGCTCTACGGCATTATATTACTTATTAGTATTATGTTACTCAAGCAAGGTGGAACGCTTAAATTGAAAAATGAAACGATCGTTTCTGAATAATTGCAATTATAACGCGCCATGCGACCTTCTTCACTGCGACGTTCAAAGTACGTTTCTCATTTCTCGTTCTACATCTGTCTAATAAAAGAACGTAATCGTCCCCCAGGTAAATTTCCATTCGTGCGAACGATTTTTCATCTAAAACCGCTTTTTACGAGAGAAAATCGTACCGTAATCGGATAAAGAGGTACTCGATGTTCCGTGGAATCGGATGGTGCACCGGTCGCTTCCGGTTCCCCGTGTCTCTCCTCTTCAGCCATGTTCCTCTTGGTCTCCTCGCGGTGGCCACACAGGCCCAACAAACAATACAGAACCACGCACAAAACTGTTGCAAGCTATTTGACACTTAATCACTGTACGCGCATTCGGTGCTTGTTTTCAGCCGAACTTTCGGCTTCCCACGTTCATAGGTAATTGCATGTTTTGTCGCATCGCAACCAGCTGTTTTCCACTCACTCCAAATTCGCTTCCAGTTAACACACTTTTACTAGTTTACCGACGAACAATGGACGCGACGAATTTAATTTAACACACAGGTCAACACAAATTACTATATCGAATCATTAACAGTTCGATTGCCGTGGTAGAACGCGTTAAAGCACCAGTTGCACAAGGGTGACGACCTTCGCTTCCAAATTTTAAATTTCAATTCGGTGCATTCAAGCCTGAGGATCTTCTGAAACCTAGAGAAAATTTGGACTGAGAAAACGCGATATCCTTCAGGACTTCGTTGAAACTTGGATTTAGTTCAGTTCGAGGAAACCCGAGGAGAATGTGGATTAATCGAGGATTGAATCCTCGGAAGATATTAATAATGGTACTCTTGTAATACTTTCGTACATAATTTTAGATTTTTATTCTATCAGTTTTCATCGTTTTATCGGTCGTGACAAGTCGGAAAGGTCGAAGGCTGCTTTATGGGATAAAGTTCCCCTTCTAATCGCCGATGAGAAGTTACTTAGATGCGAATCGATCGTGAAGGTAATAGGAGCTCCCTCTCTGTCGTTCATCCGATAATCTCGATCCAGTTCGAACGCCCCGTCTCTCTCGGAGAAATTTTACCCTGTTCGGATCGATGAGAAAAAAATGGTTTAAAACTTAAACTTTTGATAAGGCGCTGTTTCTCAACCTTTTGATTATGCAGCGATTTTAAATGTCAAAAGGTGACGCGACGTCGTAGAAATGTCGTATCCGATATTGGAGAAAACCATTTTACGAGTGTATATCTAATATCCCTCCGGGTTCGGAAACACTTTTTACACCTTCGAGGAAATAAGGGGTTCAAACTGTCATGCGATATCAGGTATCAGAGATCGCGCTTCGCTTTACTATCGCCATTTGTTCCACGCGGAATTAAAAAGCGTTCTGTCAGGTCACGTATAGCGTCGTTCAAAAGTTTCGAATTTCCAAATTCCAAGTTCCGAAATTTCTGAAAGCTACGCAGTGCCCGATGTAGGACGTTGATACCGTTAGCGAAGTTAGGGAACATGACCTGTTCCGAACAAAAGTTCTGGTTAAGCCAATGATCGAATCGCTGCGAAATCGAGCATTTTTTTGCCTTTTGTTTTAAAAGCCTAGTAATTCCTCACGCTACGGTAGGTTTCAGAAAGGGCATGAAATTGAATGTAGCATACCGGACACCTCCTTTCGTGCAGGAATTTGTTTTTGCGCGTCTAGACGTATCCGATTATCTACCTGTCAGTCACGATTACTCCACGCTATAATTCATCTTCATTCTCAATTTTCGTACGATATCGAACGACGTTAGTCATAGGCGACGAGTATACAAAATTAATAGATCGGGACAGCAATAATTCATCCTATATTCTAGATTCCCTTTTATTTTCACTTTAAATCATTCTTTCACGTATCGACATCTCGATGAATAAATACAACCCGAATTATTTCGTTGGAAATATAAGCTAGAATTTCTGAATAAACTTTCTCGCGGCCGGAACAATAGGATAAAGAACTTATATCGAACAGGAGATACTTTTAACGAATGTATGAACCATGATTTCTGTGTCGAGGATATTATTTAAAAATTAGATGTCTGGTCGATAAATTTAAGCTATTGCATACGTTCGATCTGGGTCACGGTTGACCCAGGTGCGCCATCCGAGGCTTAGTTTAACCAATAACACGAATTTAATGCAGTCAAATAACTGCGTAGTATTATTATTATATTATTAGAGGTATTGCATATTGAACGATCGATTCAAAACAAACACTATTTGATGACACAAATGCACGGCAAAGCCATAGCAATTTGGAGCTTAAAGCTTAGCCAAAATAGCTAATTAATTTCGGAATGAAAGCCACTTTTGGTTCGCTTATCACGAGATGAGCAGAATAGAAACAAAGCGATTGGTTAAGGAACGTGTTCCTTTCTGTATTTTCAGTACACTCTGGTCAGAAAAATTAGTCAGGTTGAAAAATGGAGTTGTCTTTCGGAATTCTTAGAGCTTATTTTGTGTCGAGCGTACAGTTTTATTACTGTTATAGAAAACAGAGAAACAAAACGCTAAACTGGTTCTTCAAAAGCGACTGAACAATGTGTAGAAATAAAAAGTGTTACGGGGAGCGAACTGGAATTTTTGCATCCAGAAGCCATGGCAATCTGTGCGCTCGTGGAAATCGACGCTCGCGGTTTCACCGATTTAATTGTCCCAGTCACCTGTTTTCCTCTCTGTTTGTCCTCTAAATTCGTTTCGACGTCGACGGAAATTAGCTAGCAACAATCGATTCGAGCCTCCGATAAGAATAAGCCATTGAAATTTTCGGAACGGAAGAAATGTATTTCGGAGTGGAAGAAATATATCGATTTACTCGTATGAAGAAGTAATTTCTCGTTCGATTACGAGCAAAGTCTCGTTGCGTAAACCCGCCGATATACTTCGCTGATTGTAAGCCGTTATTACATTGTCCTTTGCGTAAGTACACGTAATAACAGGTGTAATCGGTTGCGAAAGCCTATCTTGATTAACCGATTGTCAGGTAAACACATTCTCACACTAGCCTGTTAATTATCCGTCTGGCTCGCGTGATTGAGTTGCAATTATTGGACAACAGATTTTTACACGAAATGCGAAATATTGTGTCCGCTTCAAAAGCGAGTTAGCTGCAAAAGGGACATTAGGGAATAAAACTGTTTTAGAAAGTAATTAAACGTTATTCGACTAATTTTGTGTAGAGAAATCTGCATCAGAAGTTAGCGATAGAGTAGTTTCATATTAATCGTATAATTTGAATCGAAAAGCAGAAAAAAGTTGCATTAATTTGTGGAGGAAATACGAACTAATATCACGGAACAGGTTCGTATCGATACCTTTTGACGTACCTGGTTCGCGTTTCAGGAAGAACAGATAACTCTCCGAGGTTTTCCATTATTCAACGCGTTGTTCGAGACAGAGCGGACTAAAACCGGGCATCTTATTCTTATGGAGGCTTATGGGTGGTACACGAGCCGGAATACTCAGATCATAAACGAGATAAAGTAAATACACGATGATATACGAAGAGGGATTATTTAGACAGGAGGAGAATTAAGTTCGCGATGGCGAATTTGTTTGACGATTAATGTCGTAACATTTCTTTAAAATAAGGTTTCTTTTCAAGAATATTTTTTACATGTATTATAATCATGTCGCAATATGTTTCACCTTCATTTTCATGTTATTTCGACATGGTCGTACGAGCTGTTTAGCACATTTGTGAATATAGATTTTTCTGTAAGATCGACCGCTTCGTTCGATAAAAGAATAAAATTCAGACAAGAGAATTGTTTCGAGGAAAAGATACAGTTGGACGAAGTTTAACTCGGATAAATATCGATGAATATTTACTGAAACGTCTATTCTGTCGTGTCAAGGCTTTTCCAAAGACCTTGAATATTCTGTGCGAACAACTGAATATAATGTTAAACGTTCTGTGATATTTTTCGAAACCTTATACGTTTTCTCTTCGATTTTAACGGCGAACGAACATAAAATAGCAAGATCTGTCCGCGGTAAATCGAGAGGCTTTCTATCAACGATTGTTTATATAATAGAATACGGTATTTGCAATATAAGCTTGCATTTCTAAGTTTAGATTTACCGATACATTCTAAACTTCGAACAGAAATTCGCATAGAAATTCTTTCCATGAAAACGTTTGGTATTTTATGTCGCTCCTTCAATCTCTAGGTTCTTGTTTACATCCCTTGACTCCATCTTCAATTTTATTAAATAGGTCAAAGTGGTTTGAATCGTACAATCATGCCCGCCAATTACATTCGCGAGCAATGTCATGAATTATGAAAGAAAAAGAAGCGGAAAACGTGTATGCAAAATGATCGAAGAGCCCGTCAAATTCTTATAACTGGAAAACGTCTTTTTCCCGAAGGCGCTCATGAAAAATGGATGAGTATCGTGACTTATGGAATTTTATCTCGGTCGAAAAATCAAGTGGGTGTGTCTTTGATAATTTATCTGGACCGTAGTTCCAACATACTGGCAATAATTCAGCCTACTATCCCATAAAACGGATCACATACGCTTGGCTACGATTTCAGACGTTGCTTCTAATCTCTAGAGGCGTGTCTGGGAATTAGCTCGCGATTAACTTGCACACTTAGCATGAAAATCCAGCCAGTATTCGTTCTGGCACGCGTATGAGTTCATTAATGCTCTGATCTCAATGTAAACACGATAAATACACGAGTAACCTGAGCTCCTTTTAGGTGAAATTTCATCCGATTATGTCCGTAAATGTATTCCACCGGATTCGCGCTATATTGCCGTCTTTGCACAGGCTTCCGCGCATCCCAACTTTTAAAATTTCCAATTTAACAATTTGGACAATTTGAGAATGGTGTTCAAAAGTTTCCAGATATTAGGGAATTGATTAGCCAGTACACGAGCAGTCCTTTCGATAGCCACGCGCTTTATCGCATAGAGTAATCCGCAACGACAGAAGAAAATTTTCTCCGACCCAGTATATTATTGACTCCAAGAACTTCTCTTTTCTATAGCCTCATCAGTGGCAATATAACGAGTTTACTGTACGCGAGACAAAATTTGCATCGTAAGCGAACCTCGACGTAAAAGGGACGCGTAGCTAGGGCTGAATCGAGTTAAGACACCTATCCGTATTTCCATAGCATTCGGCCAGGGTTTGTTTTCATCGAAGATTAACAACGAGTATCTGCGATTCTCTCGCGAGTAACACCAGATCGACTTGGTGCACTGGCTTGTTTTACTTACGAGCACTGTGCACGCCACGCGAATAGCCAGATCACAACCGGGACCATAAACAAACGAATGCCTTTACGACACGGTGTTCACCTTTGCGCGAGAACAGACGAACGTCTTCCGTTCTATCACTTTGATCAAACCACAGTCTTCCGAATGAAATCCAACCGATCGAAACCTCGATACGATTTTCCCCTGTCAAGTCGTCGAAGATATCTCGATTCCTCGTTATCCGAATTTTTTGGACGATTCGAAAGAAACACGCGTGGATAAGTGCTTGCAAAACGTAGCAGATGAGCTGATAGATCGTCGCGGTCGATATTCGATAATCGATACAGATGGCAATGTTAAGGGAAAGCGATGTTTTCGAGGCGCGAAGATGGTCAGGGTCGCGAGCAAGTAGTATAACTGAACGGTATATCGGACGTCCGACGTCCAGCACGACTCGCCGACTACTGAGCGAACCGACGCAGGCGTCGAGGCACCTGTCGTCTTCTACTCGCTCTTATGCTGCGAAATATCTCGCTGTCGATTCGCTTGCTCGCTTTCGCGCGCGAATTCCTCGCATATTTCTACTTGTTGAAGCGTGTTTACTTAACGTGCTCGCTTTTTCCCTCGGTGACCCGCTTTTTTATCGAATCGAACCGATACTGGATCATCAATCATTCCGAGCTGCGTTTCTTGTCCTCGCGTCGATTCCACTTTTTAGTTACTTTCTTACCAAAGATACATCTATTCAAATGCATTTCTTCTATCCAGTATTACGTATATTCCTTAGTCGTACGTTTTCAATACTACGTTTCTTTGTTTCATTACTTTTTATTTGACTCGTTCTTATTGACACGCTATTACCAACATTTGTTACTTTCACTACTGTATTGTACACTTGCTATACGTTATATATTTTTTTCCTATCGATTCCGGTATCTTGCTCGTAATAAATAAGACACGAGATCCAATGAGATAGGTTTTTCGCTATATTTCGTATCGTATTACGCATCTAAAACGCTAGCAAAAAAGGTCGTAATAAACATGGCTCTCAAGTCTACTACTTTCAGATTTACGGAACCTCCTACACGATAAAAGGAATCGTAAAAATGGATACCAATGAATAGGCGGTGACGTAATGGATAAGGTAGCTGACTACGACACGAAACTTTCAGATTTGATTCCGGGTATCGGCAGTTTCTATTTTTCATGCCTTCCTATGGCATGAAATACTCTAGGGTATTCTATGATTCTATCGATTCTCGAAGCAAAACGTTGGAAGTTGAAGTAGACGCGTAGAAAGGAGATTATAGGAACTGGACTTTCGCAACAAAGAAATTCATGTAATATTTCGCTCTTTTCCATTCGGCGCTATTGAAGAAGCAGTTACGAGTGGTTATAGATTTCATGGCGAATAACGCGTGAGAATCTATCGCGTAAAGCTTGGTGAAGCGTGTACGACGCGTAGCAGTGATACAACGGGTAAATATCGAACGCGTAGAAATCTAATGTGTAGATACCTAGCGAGTAGCGGTACAACGCGTGGATACGTGTAACGATACAATATGCAGCAGCTTGATCACGCGACGCCACAATGTATGGTCAAACACGTGACCACACAACGCGTTGGCCATACAACATGGCTGTACAATGGGACGCGTAACAATGGATTCGATTAAATCAAATTTAATGTTAAGCTTAAGCGAACTCGATTAAATGATCATTCTCGAGTGTTACTCGTCCTTTCGCTTGTTCATTTCCAAGGATTTCATCGACCTCGAATAATTGTAAGTTTCGGTCGAAGAAAAGAGGGCGCTTAAGAAAGTTGGAGATCGCGTGTACGACGACTGTATCGTACGAACGAGACAGGAATATTATGCGAGCCTTTTTTTCCCAGGTTGCCATCCACGAGCCAGGACTCTCTTTTCACCCTCGCTCGCGTCATGGGCAATTATCGATTCTCCGGAGGATAGGCCAAAATACCGTGGGATCGACGTTTAGGCGCGACCTCGCTTTTTATCCGGGATAATCTTTAGAATGATCCTGGGACTCTGCACCTTCTCCGAGATAAGCGTTAGAGACTGAACACTTGGAGTCGCTTTTAATTGCTTCTGCAAATGACTCGTAAAGCTTTGCTCTTTTTATTGAAAATTCTCCTTTGTCAAAGGACAAAAAACTACAACGTGTCGGAGTAATTCGAGCCTGCGTAGGTTTCGCTGTTTAACATGACACTTTGTTTTATCCGTGACACGACACGATCGAATGGTTAATACGAACTTCCGAAGTGAGCTATTTTTTCGTAACAAGAACGAAACGAACTTGCTACAACGAGGTATCGTTGGTTCGTTGTTTTTTTAATTAAACGAAAAGATGTATTTTTATCGGGCGAAAGTTCGCGGGAAATTTCCGGACAACTTTCGGTTATGTTGCGATCCAAAAGTTTGAAGGCGAAGTCAGACGGCAACGCGGCGGGAACAGCATCGATTTCCTGCGAGTTTCTTGGAAACTTGGCGGTTCATTTGTTACCATGTATATTTCATTATCGTGTCTTGTCGGTCGACGATCGTAAACCTCGGAAACTCGAGACACAGACGCCATTGAATTGCCTGTCAACGCGTTCGCGATTGTCAAACTTCAAAGCCCGGAAACTCGTGCATCTGGTGATCAACGTTTAATATTCCGCGTTGCAAATTTTCAAACAATTCGGAGGCATACATGATTGAAATTCTTGAGAATTTCGAGGAAGTTGTTAATCTTTCTATACGCAATAATTTCGTGTTATCGGAAGTCTTATTAAACGTCGGTATACGAAGACGGTAAGTCTTGAAACTTTTCGAGAGAGCGCCATAAGCGAGAAAATTGACGAGATGAAATTTGTCCTCCGTACGATATTCAGAGATACACCTGTTGTGGGTGTATCGAGACATGTTTTGAATCATATCGGATTGCTAGAAAAGAACAAAGTAAAAGCGAAGAAAGACGAGAAAGGTAGCGGATAACGTTTCCGCTTCAAAGAGCAGGCTCAAAGACTCGCTTTCAAAAGACTGTCCTTCTCACAAAGGCTTCTCTCGTTTCCGGATACGCGATCGGAGAATCGGACCGGAAGTAGTCGGTGCACCGCTCGTAATTGAGTGGCGTACGATCGTCCTTTAAATCTCCGGCAAAGCAGAAGCTGCGCGTCGCGATACATTTCTGGTGTGTATACATCGGTTACCTTTGTACGCCATCAGGAGACCGATGTAATATCGTTGGCCAACGGTAAAAGGGATACAACTTGGAAATTACCAGAAATCGATCAGGAAGTGGCATCTCCCAGTAGGTACTAAAAGCACGATCGGGTAAATCGCTAAGTGCAAAACACGGTAAACGCGTAATAGAATCGATCAGCGACTTCCTGGATGAAGTCGCTCGATGAAAAACCAGGCTTTTATATTCTGTAAGTCACTTTCCAACTCGATCGACCACATCCACGCGGTTAATTAAAAGGGAATTTCGCGTGGGCGGCATCCCATCATTGGCGTAATTAAGACTCCTGTCTCGCGGAATCTAATCTTAAATGGACATGCTTCGCATAGTCACGCGATATATCGCCTCGCGCTGTACGACCACGCGTTAGTTCGTCGTGCATTACATGGTCATGCATTTATAGCGTCGTGCGCTAGTTCGCCACGTGCGTTGTACAGCGACGAGTAATATCGTCACGCGTTGGACCGGTACGCTTCGAATTGGCACGTGTTAGTTCGCGACGCGTCAGATTCCCATGCATTGTCGATCATCCGTTAAACCATCGCGCGTTCTATGGTCCCGTTTTGAATCGTTGCTCGTTAATATCCTCGGATTCGGGAGAAACCGTGTCCATCCTGGTTCGTGACTGGTGACGTCGATGCGTGCCATCGAACTTTCATTTCCGCGATTGAACGGGATCCACGAATATTCATGCGCGGAGGACACGCTTGTTTCATCCTGTAATCTGGCTTCGCGACAGCAGCATCTCCCCCTGTTGGGATAATGAACTTGAGGACAATGATTATCCCGCCCTAATTAACTTCCCGCGACCTTTTCCATGCGACAGCCTCCTCGCTGTTCCTCGATAATTGGAATACCCTTCGAGTGTGCTGGTCCATCGAGCAGATTAATATCGACGAACAACCTCTCTTGTCATTTATTTATTTATTTAATATCTCTTTGCTTGTCGAAAGAATTTGTTCGAAGACGCGTGCAAGGACGCGAAATAGAGATACAATAGAGACACAGAGGAGGTTTCCAAATTCTTTGGCATAATTCAGAGCCAAGCGTTTCGCATAGCAATGCTCTTGATCTGATTTGTCGGCGCTTCCGGTTCACAGTCAATTTCCTGAATCTGTTTCGATTCACTGTCTGCAGAGAAATCGCTACGAAACTCCGGATAACATTCTCGACGTTAACACGCCACGCGTTGCGTTCTACCCTGGCACAAAGCCCGTCAGGGCCACGCGAACTGTATTAAGCGCCGAGAATTCGGCATGCTTGTTCGACCTTTGCGCGAAATCAACCTCGGTAACAAAGCTCCCAACTTTGTACGAGTCTTAACCCTTTCAATTATGCGAGAGGCCACTGTCGAGCGGAAAATGCCACCGCGTAACTCCTGCCTTTCTATCAACTTGCCAACGACGTATGCGCGTTCATATTTATTTTTCATTCGTTTTCAAAAACAAATGACTTCCTCGCGAATGATCGACCGCCGTATCGCTAACGTTAATCGCGATTGTCCATCTAGCGCGTGAATGTACAGCGCGTTGCATAACGACGGCTCATCGAATATTAAATGTACGATGTCGGTCAACGCGTTAGAATGATCAAAATAAAAGCGATTGGAAGCGACGTAGCGCGATCGAAAAATAAAACTGCAAAATATCGCGATGCCGGACTATGAACTAACACTAATAATTCTTTTTTACTTCGAATCGTGCCCGAAGCCCTGTCGCATCGGTGATAACAATCGCATTGATTTTGTAACAATATTGTTTTTTTTCTTTAAAATCGCTGAAATTGACGATGTTCGTACATGTAATCTGTCAGACACGCTGAAAATGGGAAAACACTGTGTACAGTTTGTTTGCGATAGAATGTATGAACGAAGTTTTCGTTTCGATTGAATGCACAGTTAATACAGCATGAGCGTTCGATTTATTTGGTTATTTATTCAATGAATTCATTGGCGATGGGAACAGCCTTTTTGTTACGTGTAAAATTTTAATAACATAACTTCAACATTCTTTTGACGGTGTCCTTTTTTCTGTCGCAGAAAGCGAATATAAATTTTCGTTTCACCGAATAAACCACGGTGACATTTTCTTTTATTTCTTCGCTTATGGTTGCTGGAATATTGATCTAACTGTTAGCGGGGGGAGCGAAATGAATTCTTCGAGGCAATATTCTAAAAGAGAAAATTTCATTTTGATCCTTTTCTGTCGTATCTCATAATTGTTCTGAATTTGTCAAATTTTTTATAGAAGGTTAAAGGGGATTTTTATTTTAAAAAAAATCAACGATTGTTCGCTTAACAAAGAGACATTGAGGACCTTACGCAATTATACTTCGAGCGAATTGTGCATTTTTCATTAAATTTTTTTTTCGTTTTAGCGGACATTTTTGACGAGGCCGGAGAGCAGTTAAAATCGATTCCCGGATTGAGGGCCAAGTGTTTAGGTGGTGGAAGAATCGAACACGATCCTGACGAGAGAACACTCAAGGTGTACGGATATTCTCAGGTGAGTTACCGAATTAACACGTTCTAACGAACTTCGTCGCCTCGACGATCCAATCGATTAACTATCTTCTCACTCACGATTCATTTACTCGCGTCAGGTTGTGAGACGCTTGACACCTGTCTCTTCCTATATGTACCAGTTTCAATTTATACACCTATTCGATAACGACGTTACTTGTATCTGTGTGCTTGTTTATTTATTGAACGGTCGAGATCGAAGGATCAACTAGTAATCAAGAAAACGCTTCATAACGCTGTTTTCTGTTCGTTACAGGGTTTCGGAAAGGCTGACCATGACGTTGCCGCTGGAATATTAAAAAAGATGTATTCTGATTACACCATTACATGCTCGGACGAAGGATATTAAGAAGGAAATGATCTTACAGAAGATATTTATAATTACGCAGCTATAGCGAATAAGTAATTTAATAAAGAATTTCTACGATTTACTGAGGACTTTATTCTTTTTCTGCACCTATCTACTTTTAGAAGAGTATTACTGGCGGCATCTGTAAGGGGGCGATGAAGTGAATGAATAGGAAATTATCATGCGTAGCACGGGGTTATGTTAGGAAATTGCAGAAAAGGTCATGCTCTGATATCGATGAAATTGTTGCAAATAAGCTCTGTTTTTAATATTAATAAATATATAGCATGTTAATTAATAAAATTGACATAAATTGGATATTTAAAAAAAATGGAACAAGTAGCGCCATCTCTCCGGCGAACAGGGTGAACTATACCCTTTTGAAACTGTACTTTAATTAGTTCTCGTAACTGCCACTAGAGGGCGCTTTAGGAAAATGGAACACGTGGCGCCATCTCTCCTGCGAACAGGGTGAACTACACCCTTTTGAAACTGTACTTTCATTAGTTCTCATAACTGCCACCAGATGGCGCTATATAAACCGCCCTCTGGTGGCAGGATAAAGAACTAATTAAAGTAGAGTTTCAAAAGTGTGTAGTTCACCCTGTCCGCCGGAGAGATGGCGCCACTTGTTCTATTTTTTTTTAAATTTATTTAATAATCATTTTATTGGCTTAATTTACTGTAATATGCATTAAATTACATTGGAATGCAAGTCTAATTAACTTCGGAACGTAAATTTGATTTGGTAATATCGGTTCATAAACATTTATGAACGATATCTACCTTGTCCATGCTTAAGGTTTCAGTTCCACCGTCTGGCGCTAGATGCTATAGCATTTACGGACCACCTTTTCAAAATAAATGAATTTAATACTTTAATCGAATCGCAATATTAATATAATAGTTATATTATAATCAAGGAATATTTATTCATCCAAAGAACAAGCAAGAGTCACTCGTTTTAAAAAGAAAAACAATTTTCTGTTTCGTTAATTTCGTCGCTCACCGTCAAGTGGCACCAGCAGTACAATTTCGAAAGCGCGAACGAATACAAAATGAAAAAAAAAGAATCTTCACAATGTTAATTAAATTCATCGTTTTGTAACACAGTTTCATCTTTTCCCTCCACAAAAAATGAAGTAACTATTTTATATAAGAATACGAATGAAGCAAATTTATACAACGTACGAAGCAGTTCGAGCAACAATTGATGCCAATTTATTTTTCGAGTCACTTTGTATGACAAATGTTCATTTGACGAAAAACGATTTTCATTTTTCGTGCAAGGCACACTTAACCCGACTGCGCGATAAAACAATTGCAGAATGCGTTTCACTTGGTAACCAGATCCGTTAGCTGCTATAATTTGGACATGCCGTACACCCGATGAAGGCGTCACAAAAATTTCCAGTAATTCACCGACAGGTTTAACAATGTTTTCCCGGGCCGCTAAATCAATCGCGAAGACCATCAGTCAGCGGAAGTATCATGTCGGCGACGAGAATATCAAGGTACGTGACATCTGTTCGCAAAAATCGATGATACGGGATACACGATGTGTCCTTTTTAAATGACAGTGACCTTTGCTAACGAATTTTATTTAGCTGGCGATGGTCGGAGGCTCAGGCGGAATAAGTCGATCTTTCTCGCAGATGTTGAAACGAACATCGAAGCTCGATGTTCTAACATTGTACGACGTGGCTGCGCTGAATAAACGATTTTTGTCGATACCAAAGCGACTGCACAGCTTCGACGTAGGAGAACCGATTAATCCCGAGGTAACATTTCTTCCTTTTACTTCTCCAACCTCTCTTTCACATAAATTCGGAGCCATCCTTCAACTACCATTTTACAAAATCGATGAACGCGAAATTTTTCAAAAATTACACTGTTCGAAAACTTAACGAGGATGATGATCTTTCACATTTAGAAGTCGAGGTTGTTTTCGGCGTTGGAAAATTTAGAATCAAGCAAAGAATATCGAAGCGGAGCTGTGCAAGAACCCACAAACATCGCTCAGGTAGGTTCGCCTTTGACTTCGAAAGATTATATTTATAATCCGCATTAAAGTGTATTTATAATTCGATGAAAATTTATTTTTATAATTAGAAAGAAACACAAGAACTTATTGATAGCCTACGTCGCCTGCCGATCGCTGAAGAGTGCGCGGCAGATCGATTGATGGAAAACAATCTGCGACCACAGGTGAGAGATTTGAATTTTTTAATTTACTTCACAAAATCATATTTCATTCGTCAACTGAGCCATACACCGTGTAATTCTTTGCTTCAAGTTTTCAATTTATCAGCATAACTTTCGTTAAAAAAAAGAATACGTTACGTACAATATTTATAGCATCTTGTATTATTTATTACATTATATTTATTCATAGTCTACAGTATATGTAGCATGAGGTTCTAACCTGAAGTCTTAAATATTTTCAAAGTTTTATTATCTTTGCTTTTAATTTATTAAATGTCATTCGCGTTGATGGCGATAATAGGATGAGGAGGAGGATAGGGATGAAAATTACTGCCGTTTATAAAATTTGTATATCGAGTCGTATACGCGTTCGTGAAATCATATCATCAATTTCGAGTAATCGAAATTATCTTCCGATTCTGAAATTATAAATAGCTTCAATCGTTTGAATTTACAGAGATATTTTAACATTTTAATGATTTATCTAAAGTGACATGATTTTTCCAAGTATCGGTATGGTTCGGAGAATATAGAAAAATGGAACAGTTCGAATTATTTTGAACTCTCTTAGAACAACGAACATGTCCGAGGAGAGCTGCTTCTCGGAACAAAGGTCGAATCGTACAACAATTATTTTATACAGGATTTTTTACAAGATGAATTCTTAACAGCGAACATATTTAAAGTGTTAAAATATTCTAGCGTTAAATCGCGTCTAAAAGTATTCTCAAATATTTCAAGAAATATCGATGAAATTTATCGCAATTTTGCGAAGGTTTTCAACAATGATCCTCCTTGTTCCCCGAGAAAATTAACGACGAGAGACGATGGACAGGCTTCTAGCTATGGTCGCCAAAATCCCATAAAGATGAACCTTTCAAAATCCTTCTGTCTCCTCTATCCCTTCCTCCTTTCCAAGAAAATGAGAAAAAGAATCGTTGACCTTGAAATCGTCTCTCCGTCTGTTCTCAGGGGCACAAGAACCCGTACGCAATCGATCAACGAGGTCCTCGAGTTCTCGGTGAAATGGGACCTGATAACTTCCGGCATAACGGTCGCATCGTGTCCGAAATTAACCGACAATTTCCTGAATTTATTTCTAATCTATCGAAGAATCATTCCGCAAACAGAAACACTGCGCGACGACATTATTCGAACGCCGCTTTCGTGTTCGATGAAAATCGGAAAATCGAACAAGAGTCACGTTTTAACAGGCCAGCGAATCTCGTTGCTTCCGCGAGAGAGAAATCGAGTCCCGCGATGAAAAGCAATTTTAACTCCGAGAATCTTGATAAAAAACATTTGAAGAAGAAAAAGGGTGAAGTGTTGCACGAGAAGGCGAATAAAACGGTACCTAAACAAGCAGAAGAACGAGTTTCGGTTAATATCGATCAGGATCGACTCGTGACAGCGTCAAAACTCGCTAAAAACAAAATTCGCGCAAAGACGACCGAACCAAAACCGAGGAATACGTTTTCTGCCAGTACGAAATCAAAAAACTGGACGGTTCCAGCCATTCTCTCCGACAAGAAGCCAAAAATGTTGTACGGGCTTGTTCAGCACAGGAGAAGATCCCTGTCGTGGTTCTTCACCAAGTTCTTCGACGTTCAACCGGACGATGCGAGCAACAGTGCTCAGAATATTAAATGCGGAGCAAAAGTCGATAAGACGAATCGTATTCCGAGTCAAAAGTCTAAGCAGGTTAATCGAGTAGAGAAGCTAAACGCTTCGACGTCCATGAGCGATTTGACCCCGCACACGGCCGAAACAGGTTCCTCTTCTCCGAATGTCGAGTTACGTGACTCCGAACCTGTTCAAGCGACAAATCACGAAGTCGCGAAAGAGAAGAGCGTGTCTAGTATCGCGGAATCGATCGAAGAGTACGATCCGAGCGGCGACCCGGACCAATATCGCCAGGAAACGAAGGTGTCCTCGAGGATCGCCGAGTTCCTGGAGAACCTGAGGACCAATAGATGTAAACTGAGATCATCTTCGAGTCTCACATCTTACAACTTAGATTCCTTGTTCACCGTGAAAGAACTGCCAGTTTCGTCGGCTCGTTTCTTGTCCCACGATTCGAAGGACTCCGCGTACTGGCTGAAGCACATCGTCTGCAGGAACGTTTGCAACAGAAAAGGATCCGAAGACGATATTTGCAAGAAACGCAGACCCTGCAAAGCGAGCAAGGACACGTGTTCTCGGAAAAAAGAGAGCTCGTGCAAGAAGAGCGATCCGTGTTCGAAAAAATGTGGTTCAGGAGACGCTGATCCTTGCAAGCCTGCCAAACCGAAATCGTGTCGCAAGAAACAGGACCCTTGCAAGAAACGCAAGAAACAGGAAACTTGTGCTCCTGCGTGTAAGCGCGAGGAGGAAGATCCGTGTAAACAGTTATGGAGAGAGGATGTTTATGGGAAATCTTGCAAGGAGATGAAGGACTGTGATCCTTGCGCGAAATTTAAGAAGAAGGAGAAGTCCGATTATTGCGGAGAAAGAAGAGAAAGCAGTTGTGCCAAGACTGCCAAGAAGGCGGAGAGTGACGCTAGTCCGAAGAAGGCGAAGAGCGATACACCACCGAGGAAGATGAAGAGCGATTTTGGAACGAAGAAGCCGAAGAAGAAAAAGAAGAGGAAGAGCGAACCCGACACCGATAAATGTCCTCCGGTGACCCGAGCACCTGGCTGCCCGGACGATGGAAAATCAAAGGGAAATCGAAAGTTCTCCACGACCGCTTTTGTTCGTTCCTAAAATTGTGACTAATTTATTGCAACTTGTACGAATTGTTCAGAAACTTATCGGGGTAATCAGATTTCGTTGTTTACCGTAACTTTCGTGTCCGCTTGTTCGAATTGATAAGATGGAGCGGGAAATTTTGTGTAGTGCGAGTGAAACCTGTTGCGTCAATAAATGTGTTTTACTGGAGCAATGAAAAGTCATCGAGGTAAATGAGAATAGTGTCGAGAATGCAACAAAAATGAAAAATAAGTTATTTGTATTTGTAAGACATACATTTTTTCGAGAGATTATCTTTTTATTATACATGATTTTAATAAACAATTATTCGTAGTAATCGTTTTATTTCTCCGTATAATATTTTTTGAGCGACTCGTTAGTTGCGAAACTCGAAGAAAATGAAAAGTCATCGGACCTCGTTGATTATTTAAAAGGGTACTGGTATCGCGCATAATCGTTTTAAATTGATGATACATAAAAATTGATTCGACACGTACGTCAAAGAAAAGTGAACAGAGAAAGATATTTCGAAGGTAGGGTAACAGTTAAAGAAGCAGGAGTACAAGTTCATAGCCGTCTTTAAGATGTTAAATAATAACCGAGCATTTTCCTGCCTCCTTTCGTCCAAAGCCAAAAAGAAAAGAGACAATCAGTGTCTGTTGATTTTAATTGCAGCTGCAGGCAACACCAGGGTCCCTCAGCAGAAACCAACAGCTCAGCGATAAGGTTCTCGAAGTAAGTTGCACAAATCATTCCCCGTTCAGATAACTCGTGTGCCGAACGAAGGCGTATCATCGAATCGTTCGCGAATACTCGATGACGATGATCGAGCATCGCGCGAGACCGAGACTCGTCCACGAGCCTTAAAAACAATTAATCACGGGACTCGTCGCTATGGCTCCACCTCCCTTCTGCCTCTTCCTCATCTCGAAAAAATAAATTAAAAAAATGATAACCGTGACGATACGAGCGGAACGCGAGCAAAAAAAATGTACAACAAACCCTTGACACACAAACGCACACGCACACGTACACGTATAGAAAACGATCGAAAATATCGGATCATCCTCTCTCCCCGCAGAGGACGAACACTGGTCCGCTCGAAATCGAGGTAGCTAAGGAGAACAGCAACAGGGGCCCTTTGTCAATGACCTCGAGATCCGAAGGATCCATGATCGCGTCGACGATCGATCAAACGGATCATCCGGTGTTCAGGTTCGTCGCGAGGAGTCCTATCCTCGCGGCCACTGGTGACAGAACGCGAAACGACGACTATTTTCCACAAGGCGACGAATACGAAGATGAAATCGGTGGAGATATCGGTCAGCTATCGCACCTGCCCAGTGGAAGATCCCCTTCGGTTCGCGAAGAGGATTTGGATTAAGTCGTCGAGCAGTTAACGCGCTCGTTACCTGTCAACTCGTTTTAAATTGTTCGTGTTAAATGTAAATCGTCCGTGTTCCACTTTCTTCAAGATCGTGGAGGCAGATAGTTGCGGATTTCGCCTTGCGAGATGTTGCGTTTTGTTTGGAAAAAAAAGACACGTTAGATTGTCCAATATGTTCGACACCTTTTCGACTTCGCGGTTTACAAACTTCTCCTTACTTCTAGAGTCGTTAGTAATAAGTTCGCGAACGATTTCCAGAGGATGCGACCAATAGCGTAGAAACGAAAACGGCAGAAACTAATTGGACAACCTAATAGTTTTCCTTCGTAAGACCGTCGAGCGTGGTCGAGCTAAGTCGGTGTAGGAGGGAGGTGGGCCAGGAGGACAAAGGCGATAAAGAGCACGGTATAAAGCATCGTCGTCTGATGTGTATCCAGGGTGTGAGTCGGAGGAAGCTACGTTTGGGCGAATCAGACTGCGGCGAGGGTCCGCCAAATTGGCCGGAAAAGAGTCCTTGTCATCCGCCAAAGGGTCCCTGTGAGCCCATGGGGCCACCGGGTTATCCCGGGAAACCGAAGCCGGAAAAGAAGCCGTTCTGCGTAAAGTGTCCGCCCAAGAAACCGTGCAAAACGAAAAAATGTTGTTAGTCGTTGTCGTCGGGTCGAGAGACAGAGGGTACGTGGAGATAGCGGCGTACCAGCCTAGAAAGATCGAATCGGCTGTCGATCAAACGTCTCCGTTGTCTGCGTCGTAGGCTAACCGCGAAGATCGGACGGAATCCTTGGGTCGCCTTCTCAGATTTTCGACCACGACGTTCAGAAATTGGCTTCGAGCCAGGAATCAACGCTGTTCGGGATCGTTCATCGGAAATTGGTCGAGAAACGCTTGGAGCTGGACATCGTCGTCGAGGTTTCGCGGTCCGGAACTCGTCTGCGGCAGAGATTTCAGCACCGGGTTCGACGCATCGACGGAAACCGCAAAGGTGGTCTGGATATCGAAGGAGTTAGACCGCTACTCGAAGCAAGGACAGATCAGGCTTCTTCGGACAAGCTCCAGCACGATGGGAACTAGTCAAAAGAAGCCAGTCGCCGGTCGTTCGTCGAAGTCGTCGCAAAAATGCAGCTCAGGTTCGGGCGAACAGCGAAGAGGACCCTGCAGACAGCCCTATCAACGGCGAAAGCCCTGTCTTCCAACGGAAAAGTGTATTCCTCCGGCACCGCCTTGTTGTCGACGACGACCCGCGAACCCCAAGTGTCCTGACCTACCCAGACCACCTTGTCCACCACCCTGTCCCATGCCGTGTCCCAAACCTGTCGCCCCAGAGAAACCTCCACCGCCGAAGATATGCTATCGAAAGTGTCCACCGCCACCGAAGCTGCCCAGACTGCCCAAGTTTCCGAAGTTACCTGCGCCACCGCCGCCTCCTCCTTTGCCGAAGCTACCCAAACCACCCCGATGCCCTCCGCCCTGTCCACCGCCTCCTGCACCACCCCTGCCCAAGTGTCCAAGAGCTCCGAAGTGTCCCGAGTGCCCAGCTCAGAAGGAATGTCCACCACCTCCGCCCTGCGAACCCTGTCCTTGCCCTTTGCCTTGTCCACCACCCTGCTGCCCACCTCCGCCACCCTGTCCACCCTGTCCGCCACGACAACCTAATAGTTTTCCTTCGTAAGACCGTCGAGCGTGGTCGAGCTAAGTCGGTGTAGGAGGGAGGTGGGCCAGGAGGACAAAGGCGATAAAGAGCACGGTATAAAGCATCGTCGTCTGATGTGTATCCAGGGTGTGAGTCGGAGGAAGCTACGTTTGGGCGAATCAGACTGCGGCGAGGGTCCGCCAAATTGGCCGGAAAAGAGTCCTTGTCATCCGCCAAAGGGTCCCTGTGAGCCCATGGGGCCACCGGGTTATCCCGGGAAACCGAAGCCGGAAAAGAAGCCGTTCTGCGTAAAGTGTCCGCCCAAGAAACCGTGCAAAACGAAAAAATGTTGTTAGTCGTTGTCGTCGGGTCGAGAGACAGAGGGTACGTGGAGATAGCGGCGTACCAGCCTAGAAAGATCGAATCGGCTGTCGATCAAACGTCTCCGTTGTCTGCGTCGTAGGCTAACCGCGAAGATCGGACGGAATCCTTGGGTCGCCTTCTCAGATTTTCGACCACGACGTTCAGAAATTGGCTTCGAGCCAGGAATCAACGCTGTTCGGGATCGTTCATCGGAAATTGGTCGAGAAACGCTTGGAGCTGGACATCGTCGTCGAGGTTTCGCGGTCCGGAACTCGTCTGCGGCAGAGATTTCAGCACCGGGTTCGACGCATCGACGGAAACCGCAAAGGTGGTCTGGATATCGAAGGAGTTAGACCGCTACTCGAAGCAAGGACAGATCAGGCTTCTTCGGACAAGCTCCAGCACGATGGGAACTAGTCAAAAGAAGCCAGTCGCCGGTCGTTCGTCGAAGTCGTCGCAAAAATGCAGCTCAGGTTCGGGCGAACAGCGAAGAGGACCCTGCAGACAGCCCTATCAACGGCGAAAGCCCTGTCTTCCAACGGAAAAGTGTATTCCTCCGGCACCGCCTTGTTGTCGACGACGACCCGCGAACCCCAAGTGTCCTGACCTACCCAGACCACCTTGTCCACCACCCTGTCCCATGCCGTGTCCCAAACCTGTCGCCCCAGAGAAACCTCCACCGCCGAAGATATGCTATCGAAAGTGTCCACCGCCACCGAAGCTGCCCAGACTGCCCAAGTTTCCGAAGTTACCTGCGCCACCGCCGCCTCCTCCTTTGCCGAAGCTACCCAAACCACCCCGATGCCCTCCGCCCTGTCCACCGCCTCCTGCACCACCCCTGCCCAAGTGTCCAAGAGCTCCGAAGTGTCCCGAGTGCCCAGCTCAGAAGGAATGTCCACCACCTCCGCCCTGCGAACCCTGTCCTTGCCCTTTGCCTTGTCCACCACCCTGCTGCCCACCTCCGCCACCCTGTCCACCCTGTCCGCCACCCATCCCGTGCCCTAAACCTCTACCTTGCCCACCTCCGCCTCCGCCAAGACTCTGCCCGCCGTGCCCACCTTGTCCGCCGTGCCCGAAACCGCCACCGTGTCCACCGCCGCCTCCTTGCTGCCCTTGTCCGTGTCCTGAACCACCCCCACCGTGCCCTTGTCCCAAACCCTGTCCACCCTGTAAGCAAACGCAACCCAGAGAGCAACCCAAGTGTCCCGAAGGCGTTCCATCTTGCCCAAAGTGTCCGCAACGGAAGATCAGGAAGAGGAAGATGTCTACGTATTGCGCGATCTCCATGTTCCTTCCTATGAGGAGTCTTCAGTACAGAAGATTGCACGTTTGCGCGATGAGACTGAAAAAATCGGACAAGTCCAGTTGTAAGGAGATAGAGGACATATGCAAGGATACCCGGAAGGGCGGTTCCTGCGCGAAAAGCTGCGAAAGGAAGGACGATTGCGGTAAGAAGAAGCCCAAGTGCAGCGACAAAGTGAAGAAAATGCAGTCGAAAGGACGGAGGAAGAAGAAGAAGAAGAAGAAGAAGAAGAAGGACGACTGTATTCAGACGTGTATACCGACCGCGAAGTGCAACGGTCCTCGGATTGCTAAACCACCGAAGATGGAATACGGCCCGGCAAAATGTCCTCCACCAAAGTTCGTTTCGCCGCAACCCTGTCCCGATCCACCCGAAGCGGAGACGGGTCCCTGCGTGGAAGTTCGATCTTACATCAAACCGAAGAAGGAGGTTTGCCCGCCTCTTCCTCTTCCGAAACCGCCTACCAACCCTGTTATTCTTTGTCCCTGTCCGCCACCTCCCAAAATGCATCCTGGTCCGTGTCCTTGTTTCGAAGATAAGCAGGAACAGGATCAAGGGAAACAGTTTGTCCCGCCATGTTCTGTGAGAGAGAAGTATGTCTGTCCGAGGGAGCCTCACTTCTGTCCGCAGGAGAAGCTGATTTGTAAAAAGGAGAAAGTTTGTGACCCGAAGAAAGTCGAGAAGAGGAACAAGAAGAAGGAACCACCATCTTAAAGGTTCGTTTTTTTTTTGTTTAGACTCTGACGATGAATTTTAAAATTGTACACCGCGTCTGACCGTTTTTATGAAATTTTCAGGACAGGGCAGAGGAGCAGAATCTGTCGAAGGACGAACGATCGCAGAGGGGATTCCAGTTTTCTGCGAAGTCTATCAGACAATGTCATTCGGTCTCCTGGATCCAGTGGACGTTTAATGATTTCCGGTCGACTCGTTCGCCAGCTGTTCGTTCGACGATCGAAGATCAATAAATTACTATGTCGATTATTCGCTCTCGAGCTGATCCGAAGGATCCGAAGAACGAGAGGCAAAGGGTGGACGAATCGATTGTCCGTGTGTATTCTTTGTCGCCTGTCTGACGTTGCGCTTTCGTCCGAAATTCGTCGAGAAGATGAACAAGTCGTTGCAGAAGATCGAAGAAAGTTTTCCGATTCTGTCGCGTTCGATCCGCTCGCGTCGATGTAAATCCCGCTTTTCGAGATCACGAACGCGCCTCGTCGGCCACGCGACACTCGATATGCATTTAACTAATTTTTTATTTTTATGAGTCCAAGTGCTAAATTCGATAGACTTTACGGGATGGGAAACTGTCGATCCTTCCCTGCGTGCGCGCTCCGCGAAAGATGGGCTCGGGAAAACGCAACATCCATCATCGTAAACGAATCGAAGAAATTGTTTGTACGACTTTCGCGAGGCGAGAATTCCGCAGACCAAAAGATTACGTTAGACACAGTATTCGTGCAAATAAATTCTTACGTAGCAACGAGAAACGCTTTTATTATTTCCGAGATCGATCATTAGTAAATTATATTTCTCGGCGATAAAAGTTCGAACGAGCGGTCGTTAAAAGAATTGCCTAAAAGGCCAAGTCGAAATTTCGATAATGCTCGGAGTCGTCGTTCTTTCTGGCATACGCGCGATCCGGAAACCATAAATCCGGAAGTTGATTCGACGAATTTGCGAGCGTTCGTGTCTGAGCAATAGAGAACTCGCGGAAGGAGAAATCGCAATCGAAAGCGCTTCGTTACAATAATATCGACATTTATATACGAGCCAGCTCCGGTCGAAGGAAACGATACAGAGGGTTAAGGGGGCGGGAAACGGTGTAGCGGGGCGAAAGGTCTGTGGGGTTCTTATCATTTTATTATTGGGGTGAGCACAGCCCTCCGTTCCAAGAACGACGCTTTACTTTTACCTTCTATTGTCTGTCCCCTCTCGTAAAGGCTTAAGGGCCGTTTCCAAACGCTCCATTCGATTATCCTTCACGAATTTCACTTTTTCCTCCATTCGCGACGCTTCGTTACCCTCCTCGTTCGTTCGCGGAAACGTCTAATCGACGAATCGATCTTGCTATTGTTCTTTGCTGGAATTCCCATTGGAAACGCATCTTGCCCCGGCAATTAAATTTCATGCAAGACGAACAGAACGCTCGTTAACTCAAAAAGGAATCTGAATTTCAAGTTTTTCTGGGTATTTGCTCGAGCAAGCCTATCATTAGAGCAAATGAAATTGTTAGGAAATTTTTTACTCATCCACTTATATCGCGCGTTTTGAAACAAGCTGTTAACGTATAATATACAGGGTACGAAAGTTTGGCACATCGTAATAGACAGTTCAGTCGCGTATCGACACAGTGGAGGATACGTAATTCGGTGATCGAACGTTGTAAAATCAGCTCGACCGGACATTTGATCCGTCTCCCAAATCCCTTGAGCAGGGCTCGCTTTTGCATCGGTCTGTACCAGAGCAGATATCGCGAGTATTATCACGGACGTTCACCGCGATTGGTCGGATTCGAGGGTGTCCTCTCTTTTTCCTCCCTTTCGTTCGACCAATAAGTGACGTTTCTCATTGGAGAAAGGGTCTGAAGGATGGGTAGGAGCGCGGCGAAGTAGAGAGAGGGAGAGAGGAAGGGCGGGAGGGAGGAAGAGAAGGCAGCGAGAGGGTGGTGGTCGTGGTCGGGAGGATGGTTTTGCGAGGGTGGTAGCAGCTACGAGGGCAGAAAACTCGCCCCGCTGAAGAGAGTCGAACGGGTCGAACCCGTGGCTGCGGATGGAAACGAGCGGGATGGATAAACTTCGAAGCGACTGTCCCCGAGGCTGATGCATAATTCAGGAATCGTCACCGGCGAGGATATTGCCAATTTGGCGTCGATGAAAATACGATCGGATTTGTCGGCTACCCCAGAATGGCTCGTCCGACGTACATCCAGTGAATTTAACACCTTCGGCCAACGTGCCGCCGGTGTACCATGCGAAATTGCATCGGAGCCAATCGCCGTATCGCTCTGATATCATCCTCCTTCCTTTCACGCCGTTCGCCGGTTTAATGGCTTCCCGTAGGGGCGCTTATCTAACCCCTAACTCCGTGCTTCTTCTCCTTCCGGGAACGACCGCCTCCGCGAACCTTTGCAATGCCGACAACGGCATCGACGATCGTTTCTTAATTAGTACTTTTATCGCTTTTCGAAATTTGCAAATTCCCACATTTAGAAATCTCGAAATATCCTACGAGAGTCAATTCGTATTTAGGGGGGCCAAGCTCACCCTGACCCCTAGTTACGCCAGTGTTAAAATCTCCTTTCATCGATTCCAGATGATTCTCTTCACGCCTATCAAATTCTCATTCGCAGCGTTATTCCTTTTTTTCTCCGAGCAGGATTTCCATTTCCGAGAATCGCTCCTTTACATCCGCTGATACTGATCGATGGAAGATTATCGGTTTTTCATGCTTTCTGCGTGAAAATTTCTCGAGGGTGTGTCTCGCACCGCGCCAGAGGGGGATGGATCGTTGAACGTTCTTCGATTTTCTATGGGTACAGGGATGTCGGTAGCCATGAAATATTTATGACGAAAGTCGGCCTGGGTACAGGCGCGATGAAAAGAATACATTCGCTATCGATTCAATTTGTCAACTCCCCGTTAATTATCTTATTATGCGATCCTCTTAGCTCGCGGAAGCAACCGCGTCATGGATAACCCATAAATACTTGTCCGTAGAAGAAGCTTGGCGAGGATTATCGGGCGAGTATCATCTTTTTACGTAGAAATAGCTATAGGAAAATATCATAGACGTTAACGAAATAATCTGTTGGTATCGCAGAGACGAAGATCTACACCTGTTTTACCGACGCGAACCCGAACATTATCGATTCTATTCATAAACTCGCGATTTAAAACGATTTTTATTCTGTCATCAATTTAGGTAAGGTGAAATTAATTATCTAACGTTGTATAATTGTTTAAAGGTACGTTTTCAAAACATAGATCGATCGGTAAAGCAGGGTGTACCGATTGATTCGACGAAACGCGAGCACCATCGTATCGATAAATTGAAAATGATTCTCGCAATAATAATGATTCGAATTGCGAGAAATTTAAAATCTAATTCGTAGAGAGAAGAATATTAAAACATAGATCAGCCGATAAAACAGACAGTATCAATCGATGAATCGAAATACCGAAACGGGATGCATATTTAATAGAGTTTCTTGTATTAGAAATCGAACGGATCGACCGATGGTGAGCTGGAAAAAGGCTGGTTCGCAAATTTATTCGTCGGACAGGGTGACTTGGCCAGCAGGCACGAGAAGGCGGGAAGAGGCCAAGATTTATGGCGCCGGATACGCGAATACGGTGGAGCTTCCTTGTATCCGGTTTGGCGAAAACTTTTCTCGAGCTTTCCCTTTTTTTTCTTTCTTCCCACCAACGCATGGTCGAAGATGCGCGTTTTTATCCTCGTCGATTCCGAATTTCCATCGGAATCAGCAAAAACTACGATAACGAGTAAACGTTATGGTCGCTGTAGCCGAGAGGGGATCGCGGTGTTTTATCGACAGACGCGTCTGTCTTATTTTATGCTATACCATTTTCTGCGTCTCTAAAGGTTCCTAATCGAAATAAAAATAAAAATTTGGTAACGCGCGATGTCGGATCGATTTGAACGCAGCAGCGACCTCTTAAGAAGCAATTCGATACGTTGTCGTTTTTGGGGAAACAATCAAGCACTACGGTTTTTAGTCCCAGGTGATTCGACGGGGTTCTTGAATCGTGGAAATTTTTACTTCCATGCGAGCCAACGCGAGGGAATTTCAAGGCAGGGAAAAGCGACGCGATCAGGCGGGAGGTTAAATTAGATTTCGTACTTCCGGGACGCTACAAGAACCTTAAAAGAGGAGGTAAGCGCGGACAAACGAGTGCTTCAAATGGTCCTCCCATTTCACCGTGGAAAAAGGATCTTTTAAGCTGACTAAATTTTTCTGATACACACTCACCATTGAAATTCTCGATTCGGTGTAAACGGGGTGTTTTCTGCTTACTACCGTTCGCTAAATTTTCTTCGAGCATTTCGTTCCTCGATTGAACGAGCGAATTAAGGTCTTGGCCAAAAACAAAGCTGACCAAAGTATCGAGTGACTTTTGCACCGACTCGAAAGTCGTATTACTCCGTCGAAAGTGCTGTTGAAGGTTGCACTCGATCCGAGAGTCGGGTCGGTACTCGAAAAATCGAGGGGATCGCACCCTCGAAACGTAACCGATGCGAGTGTCGATTTCTCGGGCTCGTGGGATCGACGTTTCAGTCGTTCACTTGGCAGTCCGCTCGCAGAAAAGGTGCGCTCGCGAAGAAAATTTTAAGGACTCGACTTCCGAAACACTGGACACGTTATTGTATCCCTAGTGGGAAGCTGAAGAGAGAAGGAACCCATTGCGACGCGACCTCGAACGTGTGATCCGGAGCGTCGATGTAATCGACTAGCGAAATGGAAACGAGTGCTACACTGGCTACCATGGAAACACTTGACGCGCAAGTGTGGCGAAAATACGAGGCTCGTAATGGAAATCGTTGATTCGATTGCTCGTTGAAAGGTTTTAAGCGAAGTTCTTCGATTCGTCGTGCGCGCAAACGCGTCTGTAAAGATTGAATTAATTCTGAACGATTACTTTATCGTGGGAAAGTTTTACGCACCGAGTAGTGCGCTGACTAGATTTAGATGTTAA